GTTCAGTTTCCAAGGAATGTGCAGGCATTTATGAATCTTTTTGCTTTGAAGAAATATAACACACTTCTCTCTTTTCTTGAAGTTTCCATTATCGCACACTGCATTCCAACTTTTTTTTTCTTAAAAGTTGACTCTTATATATCGTAAACTTCTAAGTATACCCCCAATATGGGAGAGTGTTTCCAAGTATGGAAGGGCCTGGGTATAATCTGATTGTTTCAGTACATCATTTTGGCGTATTTAAAGTTTTCTAGCACTCTAAGTACCCGGGGAGATTTTAAGGGGTTTTTCCTTGTGAGGATCTGTAGCATTTATAGCAAAACGTTATTTTTCTTATTTTAACGCAACTGAGAGTAGAAACAAGAACAAGCGAGCTGAGTATGCACCATAAACCATGAAGGTAAAGCCTGAAAATAGGTTGTAACCTACGCAAAAATGCAAAAGAGCAGTAGTGATAAAAACGTCCAAAACAGGCCTAAATCTAGCTGAGAGACACGTTTGTTGTCATTTTCTTGAATTCTGATTGGCTAATGGGGTATGGAGAATTTAGATCGCTCAGCCAATCAAATATTTGGAACCTATGCTGCAAAAGAGCAGTTATAGGACAAAACCCGAACTAATCCCAACAAACAACAATATTAAACAAAAAAGCCTATTCTAGTAGGGAAACACGGGCAATCTGATAGGCAGGCTTAGGAGATAATGGGGAACCTCCCCGCTAAGTACTATTTATCTTTGAAATTTTGTGCAACAATATTTATCGTGTAATATTAACGTAATAGTAACAATAGTAATTTTATGTTACAGATGATGTCATATCGTTACTGAAGATCACTGATGAAACGCACTCGTCGACGCGTACACTTAGTACATTTACGCAAGCTCGCAATTGGGAGAATCTTATCGTTGTCAGCGATGGGAAGTTCACCGTAAAGAGCATGCTTAAGGCCTACTCGTTAAATGTTTCTGTTATCTCATACTCCATTTACCCTGGTATGTATAATTCTGAATGTCTTCACCATAATTATTCAAGAATAAACTTGTATTGGAAGATTCTTTTCTGAATGGATTTTATACTTTCTTTCTTTCTTACTTACTTTCTTTCTTTCTTTCTTTCTTACTTTCTTTCTTTCTTCCTTACTTTCTTTCTTTCTTACTTTCTTTCTTTCTTACTTTCTTTCTCTCTTTCTTTCTTTCTTTCCTACTTACTTTCTTTCTTTCTTTCTTTCTTTCTTACTTTCTTTCTTTCTTACTTTCTTTCTTTCTTTCTATCTTACTTTCTTACTTTCTTTCTTTCTTTCTTTCTTTCTTTCTTTCTTGCTATCTTTCTTTTTTTCTTACTTTCTTACTTTCTTCCTTACTTTCTTTCTTTCTTACTTTCTTTCTTTCTTTCTCTCTTTCTTACTCACTTTCTTTCTTTCTTTCTTTCTTTCTTACTTTCTTTCTTTCTTACTTTCTTTTTTTCTTTCTTTCTATCTTTCTTTCTTACTTACTTTCTTTCTTTCTTACTTTCTTTCTTTCTCTCTTTCTTTCTTTCTTTCTTTCTTACTTTCTTTCTTTCTTTCTTTCTTTCTTACTTTCTTTCTTTCTTACTTTCTTTCTTTCTTTCTTTCTTTCTATCTTTCTTTCTTACTTTCTTTCTATCTTTCTATCTTTCTTTCTTTCTATCTTTCTTTCTATCTTTCTTTCTTACTTTCTTTCTTTCTTTCTATCTTTCTTTCTTACTTTATTTCTTCCTTCTTTCTTGCTTTCTTTCTTTCTTTCTTTCTTACTTTCTTTCTTACTTTCTTTCTTTCTTTATTTCTTTCTTTCTTTCTTCCTTACTTTCTTTCTTTCTTACTTTTTTTCTTTCTTACTTTCTTTCTTTCTTTCTCTCTTTCTTTCTTTCTTTCTTTCTTACTTTCTTTCTTTCTTTCTTTCTTTCTTTCTTGCTATCTTTCTTTTTTTCTTACTTTCTTTCTTTCTTACTTTCTTTCTTTCTTACTTTCTTTCTTTCTTACTTTCTTTCTTACTTTCTTTCTTTATTTCTTTCTTTCTTTCTTTCTATCTATCTTTCTTTCTTACTTTCTTTCTATCTTTCTTTCTTTCTATCTTTCTTTCTTTCTTACTTTCTTTCTTTCTTTCTTTCCTTCTATCTTTCTTTCTATCTTTCTTTCTTTCTTTCTATCTTTCTTTCTTACTTTCTTTCTTTCTATCTTTCTTTCTTTCTTTCTTTCTTTCTTACTTTCTTTCTTTCTTTCTTTTTTTCTTTCTTTCTATCTTTCTTTCTTACTTTCTTTCTTTCTTTCTATCTTTCTTTCTTACTTTCCTTCTATCTTTCTTTCTTTCTTTCTTTCTTTCTTTCTATCTTTCTTTCTTACTTTCTTTCTTTCTATCTTTCTATCTTTCTTTCTTTCTATCTTTCTTTCTTACTTCCTTTCTTTCTTTCTTTCTTACTCTCTTTCTTTCTTTCTTTCTTTCTTTCTTTCAAAAAAGGAATTTATACTTCTCTACACTTGATCATTGAATTCTTAAATTGAATTTAGGTTTTTGAAAATGTTCTCTGAAGTAAAACGTGTCGTTAAGCTCAGGTCAGACCGATATGATTAGGGATTTAAAATGGCTGAATAAAACATGATTTTATTCTTACAACGCTAAAATGATGCAATAATTTCTACTTTCTGTATTCCTATGAAAATTACTCTTAAAAACGGTATATCTTTGTTATGATACTTATAATCCTTCCTCAATGACTGTAAGTTTAAATATTCTTCTACACATTTTAATTTGTAAGTAATGTTTTTTATATTGCTGATATGGTTTTAAATACAAGTATTTTGTCTGAATTAAATTCTTACCTTAATTATTTGCATTTCATAGGCTGTTATTCCAACTCACTTAAATATGAATACCACTTCAAGTACACTTCAGGTAACGACTTTTAAACTAAGATGTGCAATTGCTGTCATTTCATGTTGGTATTTATGTCCATTTAGGGCTTTGTTTGCTTCAAGTCAAGAACGATATGTACCAAAATGATATTGAATATGTAAACTTTTTTAAGTCCATCCATATATAATGCCACGGATTTGTCATGGTATATTGCACTCCGTGGTATCGTCCTTTTAATACTGTAAATTCTGTTTGCACGTGGAGTTACTAGTAAACCTATATTGTAAATTTTATTGATGTGAAGAAAAGAACTCGCGTCAAGATTTATCAATAGATTTCCATCACAGAACGTACGTCACTAGAAACAATAAGTCACTAGAAACAACATTCTGTTTCAATGGATTGTCTCTTGGGTTGGATGACGAGAAAGAACTTACCATTAGAAGGATTATATAAGATAATTTCATCTTGTATCAGACGCAATGATTCTTAATGATTTCGTGTGATTCATTGATTCCTTGTAACTCGTTGATCCCTTGTGATTCATTGATTCAACTTACCTTTTTTTGCCATTTGGCGATATTAAATGATACTGCATCTTTACGCCTGCCCCTTTATTATATGCATTCTGTTTAAAGCTCAAACAAAGACGCAATGTATTTATGAATGCAAAACCAACAGCTACAAGTATGCGTTCGTCGATCAGAATCACTTTGGCTGTTATTGCGGGAATATCGAGCCATCCCGGAAGGGTTTCGACATGGTGCACCCGAGGTTTTGTTCTAGTCCACCGCTCTACAGGCATTGCACTGTTGGAAATTGCCTCAGAGGGGGATTTGGCAAGCTGTATTTAACTGGTTCGTAACTAGGGATCGTGTTATTCTCTTCTTCTGTTTGTTGTCCAAGCCTGTGGGATTGCTTCGTCGAAATGTTGCGAAGTTGCTGATTTTTTTGTCCCTCATTGTCTCATTCCCAACAGAACCTGCATTAAGCCCCGGTCAAACGCATCCAACATTTCATACAACATTTTCTCCGAACAATATTTAAAACTCGTCGATATTTTTAAGCGGGTAGTCAAACGCATCCAACATTTCATCCAACATTTCCATCACCATGCAAGGCCTGCGAAGCGATGTGTTTACAGCACTGGTTTACAGACGGTGAAAAGGCGCGTAAAATGAAGGTGAATAATAATAGCTGATTTCCAAAACAACATGTTGAAACATTCTTTTTCTTGAAAGTTTCGTCTGATGGACCCCTACATTATCCAATTCACTTGTGGGTTTCGCTTATTTTTTATTCTTTTTTAATAGCTCTCGCTTCCTTTTAGGCCTGTGCTTAAATCTAGACTGCCATTGCTTCTCTCACTCTCCTCACCAGTGCCACATTTGTCCTAATCCACCCTCAGCTATGAATTTTTAGATTATTTAATGCTGCTCTTTGCTTTTACTTTCCATTTTTCATTCGATAACTTTGAGAATAGTTGCTCGCAAATCAATGAATCAACTTGGCGCTCAAATGAAATAAACAAGTTGAAATTATGCGCATGCCCACAAAAATGAAATGTTGGATGCGTTTGACCGGGGCTCTGTCCTTAAATCAGACTGGCAAAGTTCATCAAAATATAGCTATTTGAATATTTAATTACTGTGAATTTCTTTTGAGAGCCCTATCTTCCTTGCTGTTCAGCAATGGTCCTCATTCATATTAAACTTGCAGAATACTTGAAAATATTGTTTTGTGATGTGTTATTACTGTGAATATCTTTAGAAAAACATAGCTTTCTTGCTATTTAGCAATAGTCCTCAATAAACTGGCAGAATACATTATTTTATTCTTCTAAGATTAATTATAAGTGTGAATAGTGCACAACATGCCTTTTCATTTGTAGTGCCTGATGCCTTCAACACAACGACCCCAGCCAAAAAAGTTTCTTCTGGAAACCTTTCAGCGGAACTTATCGGCTCTTCCTTTGGCATAATGGCCTTTCTGGTCCTTACGTTTATTTTCATAAGATACAGGATAAAGAAGAGACAGAGAGCTGAACGTTCTAATCGTGGAGCAAATCAATATTTGCCAGGTAGGTGCTGCAGTACTAACAAACCCAAAAATAGTTTCAGTGCACAAGACAGCAGTGTCTGTACCTGTAAATAGGCGGGTGTTTCCTACGACATCCGTTTTTACTTATTCAGAATTGCTATTAAATTGTCATTTTAAAAAGCTGAAATTTCCTTGCTTTTGCACGTATGAATTGCTGAAAAGATTTGTTATTGATGATGCATATCTCGATAAAGGGTTCATCTAAAGATCTAAAGATTTAACTGAATTGGGTCTTGTATGATAGCCTCAAATATTTTTCAAATTAGATGACTGCATGTATGGGTAGAAAACTGCATATATGGGAATTATACGTGTGTTATTTATCGTAACACTGCAGCCGATGTAAATTCTACTTTATAATATTTCCTTGATAAACTTATTTACACTGCTCATATGAACACAATAGCTTTATCGGTAAGCATCAGATCAGCTTTAAAAGCGGGTTTGTTATGTGTATCCCTGTGTATATCTTGTTGATTGACTTAAAACACTGAGTCGTTCTTGGAAAACCTTTTGTAGAGGCACCCTTCCTATGCAGCTTTGAACAATGTCTCGTCTCATTGTAAATAGGTTATTTTCGATACATATTCTACTCGATCAATTATTTTCGATTATTTTTCGCTAAATTTAGTTCCCCTTAGTATCTTAGTTTTTGTTTAGTTTTTTATTGGGGGCTCCTATAGAAATAATCCAATCGAGGAGGTTTTTCCTCTAATTGCAAATTACCGTCTTCTTTTTACTTTAGTCCAAACTCCTGATGTTTGTTACGCGCCTGACTCTGCTCTTGGAGGTGATTTGAGTTTTTGTCTACACATCTTTAGTAGGAAAATGTATACTACTATAGGAACGCTATTATGTGACAAGAATTGCAATGGTTCCTATCATATCTTGTGACTTTCCATCGTTGGTGTTCGCTTCGACGAATCTTATTTAACGTGCAGAGAACACGGAGCCAGTGAGAGAGGCAGTGTATTGCTGTATAACTCTGATCTGAACTGAACTTGACTGACTGACTGAATTACATACAAATTAACATACTTATATACAAAATAAATGTGCTGAGTAATGATGTGCTGTGATGATGTAATGATGATGCAATGGAGAAGGAAAGATCTAGGCTTGGGAAGAAGTCAGCATGACATAGATGTGTGAATGTGAGTACAATGCTGAAGGGAATGTCCTGTGCTAGGTGATGCTGTGAATGACGTAGGTGGATGTCATGGTGATGGCATGATGTAGGAATATGGCCTAATTTACAATATTAAAATCACTACAATAGCTCCCCCCTTAGAATGCAAGCGGTTGTGAAGCATTCGATACGCAAGGGAAAAGAACTAGGAATAAATTTTAATATTGTAAAATCGATGAATTAAAAATATGAGTGAATTGCGATAAAATATTAATTGTTCGAAATTTAAATGTCCAACCGTTATAAATCGACGAGAGTTCGAGACGTAGCCGGTGTTTTCTTCTGTTCGTGATTTGGGAGATTTGTGCGAAGTTTTTACGTTGGATGACCAGGAACCAGTTTGTTGAGGAGTTATTGATCGTTAATGTTGCGTGGAAGCACTACGGTGAGTCGAGTGCTGCGATGCGTTTGAGGGCACTACGGTGAGTCGAGTGCTGCGATGTGTTTGAGGGCACTACGGTGAGTCGAGTGCTGCGATGCGTTGAGGGCACTACGGTGAGTCGAGTGCTTGTTGCTTGTGTTGAAGAGCACTACGGTGAGTCGAGTGCTGATGATTGTCGATAAATCCAAATGAGCTGGGTTGTGTGTGTGAAGCTGAGTTGATGTTGACGAATCCTTGTTGATGAAAAACTTGATGTGTCTGATGCCATCGAAGAGTTGATGTTGTAGTTGAAGTAGAATTGACCAACGATGGATTTGCGGGTCACGTCGTGGTCACCATTATAGGAACGCTATTATGTGACAAGAATTGCAATGGTTCCTATCATATCTTGTGACTTTCCATCGTTGGTGTTCGCTTCGACGAATCTTATTTAACGTGCAGAGAACACGGAGCCAGTGAGAGAGGCAGTGTATTGCTGTATAACTCTGATCTGAACTGAACTTGACTGACTGACTGAATTACATACAAATTAACATACTTATATACAAAATAAATGTGCTGAGTAATGATGTGCTGTGATGATGTAATGATGATGCAATGGAGAAGGAAAGATCTAGGCTTGGGAAGAAGTCAGCATGACATAGATGTGTGAATGTGAGTACAATGCTGAAGGGAATGTCCTGTGCTAGGTGATGCTGTGAATGACGTAGGTGGATGTCATGGTGATGGCATGATGTAGGAATATGGCCTAATTTACAATATTAAAATCACTACACTACTCTACTCTAATCTACTCTTCTCTACTCTACTCTACTCTACTCTACTCTACTCTAATCTACTCTGCGCTACTCTACTCTACTCAACTCTACTCTACTCTACTCTACTTTTCTCTACTTTTCTCTTCTCTACTCTACTCTACTCTAATCTACTCTACTTTACTCTACTCTACTCTACTCTACTCTACTCTACTCTACTCTACTCTACTCTACTCTACTCTACTCTACTCTACTCTACTCTACTCTACTCTACTCTACTCTACTCTACTCTCCCCTACATTATTCTTACGATTTTATGACCTCTTTCTTAGAAGTTCCTCTGTTTTTGTCTAATACAGATTTATTCCAACAATGTGTTTTTATAAATGCTCTTGAAATATCTGCTCCGACAAGTGCTTCCCTTCTTCTGCCATTAGTTGTAGAAACCAACGCTCCAGCTGTCAATTCGATTCTTAATCTAACAGAAGTTATTGATTTTCTGCAGATGCATCACCTTCATATTCAGATGCCACAAAAGAAGGGGTCGTTTTCATGGACTCAAGGAACGCTGTTGGTGCGTTTTAATTGACAAATGACCCTCCACTTTCATTTGAAGAAGCAATTAATGGTGCTGCCAATGCTGGAGCTCTTCCACCGAAATATGACACTATTCAATTCAGGGACGAAAACAAGTTGCTAATTTTGGGGGGGCGTGGAAGTATGAAAATTCCAACTTCAAGTGATAAATTTTTCATTCGACCAGTAGATCTGTTGTACCTACCAAATTGATATTTGTAAATAGCCCGAGGACCATAGTTCTATTTTCTTTATAATTACCAAATCTTTACTCAATAATTAGCCTAAAGCATAAAAGCCTAAATCTCTAAATTTTGATTAACATGAAACAAACATTAAACATACTGTAAGAAGTAAAGCAACATTTAAGCAAAACCAGTATTAGATATACTTAATGATTAGTAGTATTCTTTCAGATCAATTGATCAATTTTATCTAAAATACATTTTTTCACGATATAGAAGCACCAAGAATTTGGGCCTTTTATTTTCGTTCTTGATCGAAGAAAACTACCTTTAAACTTTTCAGAGGGCCAAATGCCTTTTCATTCTTTACAATTGAAATGATGATTTGAGAACAAACTTGTGCATATGCCTGATTCGAAAGATGAAATACTCTTCTTTGATCAAATACTTCTACTGCAGTTTTTGCAATGTGTTCTTGCTCCACAGCAGTTTTGTCATAGGAATTTATGAAAGGACTCAAGGACATTAACAAATAACAGGGGGAGTTTAGCATAAACTCGTTTTTTATAAGAAGCGTTGAGAATTTTTAGTACTGAAAGATTATTAATCTTTTATTGAATTAACTACTCGTAGTTTCTTAAAAAACTCCCACTCTAATGCTTTCTGATCAATACGGGAATTATTATTCCAAACTATAAAGTTTCAAGTTTCTTATCCGGAAATTCACCTTGCCTGTTCGTAATTTGATTCAACTCCCGTCAGAAAGAAAGCAAACGGGGCAATTGTGCAACTTGGATCCAGTGGAGACGGGATTCACAATAGAAAACGATTGGATGGGTCAGCTTCAGCCTGTGAATTTTAATGTTTAGAATTTTTATATTTAAGATAAAAAAACTTCTTAAAATATAAAATTCACAAGTTTGGTCTTAAGAAAAAAATTCCAAGTCAACCGTTACATTTTCCAACTGTAACTGGATTTTCCAAACTTTGGGGGGCGTTACGCCCCCCACGCCCCCCTATTATTTACGTGCCTGTCAGTATTCTTCGTAAGTTGGGTTTTGTTTTTACATTCCTTGAAGAACGACGACAAGTTTTTATTGCTATGAAATTGAAATTTGGTTAAATGAGGGCAATTCTGTTATTTAGAATTATTGTGGTCTAGATTATTTTCCTTGACTCGCTTGCAGGCGTTCTTTTACATTTTTTATACATCTGAACCTTCTCTATCGATGTTTCGGGCAATTTAACCTAGCGTTCAGAATCTTTAACAACAAACTATGTAGACTAACTTACCACCATTTCATCCTGTTAGCCCTTTGTCAGTGGAAACGCCATCAGGGGCTGAAGCTCATCGAAACCAAACCCCGTTATTAACGAGTCTTAGTCAGCTCTCGAGTCCCAGAGGTAAGTTTCACCATTATGCTTACACTAGGTAGCAACAATTTTTTGTTGATTGGAACTACTTTTTTGCTTTCTTCAGCTATTTCCACTTATAATTTGTAATTTAATTCTCTTATAAGCAATTTGATCGACGCTTAAAAAACCCCCTTTTCACAGTAATTCTTGAAAAAAGGGCGTGTACTGCTTACCTATAAATTCGCAAAGTGGTTCATCATAGTTGTAATATTTCAGTGCTCCCTCATTCATTAATTCATTCATTGTGGTTTAAGCAACTTGCCAGCTCATATCGTGTGAATAACGAAATAAATTCAAATAGATTCTTTTTAATTAACGTTATACCTTCCTCATTACAGTGGTATTACCGGCTGTCGACGATGGCGATTCAAGACCAGGCTCCGCAGCCCTGATAAGATCTCGACCAGCATCCGCAGCCTCGGTTGACTCTGTCTCCGATTCATTGCACCCTTTGGTATGACCCACAACGAGGCACCAAAGAAACCCCAATAGAATGCTCCCGCCACTGCAAGTTCGAGTCAGGGCTACAGACAATCGAAATCCTGGCAGTGACGTATGAAACCTTGTATAGCTAACATGCAAACATTGTAAATACAACGTATATCTGTAGATCCGTACATGTCAAATTAGAGGAACAAGGAAATCAGAGCACCATTACCGCCGGACCAATCAAGAACTTTCCTGGGGTCTGGGACCCTTGATAAAGTCATTGTTGTTTTGTCAGAAGCTTTGTTACATCTTGGTCGGGCCCCTCTCAGCTAAGGGCACGGGGAAATCTGCCTTCCCTACCTCGCCTGCTTTCCTTGTGCCCCTGCCAATTATTGAGAGAACATGTGATTTGTGTTGGGGCAATGAGCTTTGCGGCATATACATTTACCAAAAACATGTCGCTTTCCTTCCTTACATTTTTTCACGATATAGAAGCACCAAGAATTTGGGCCTTTTATTTTCGTTCTTGATCGAAGAAAACTACCTTTAAACTTTTCAGAGGGCCAAATGCCTTTTCATTCTTTACAATTGAAATGATGATTTGAGAACAAACTTGTGCATATGCCTGATTCGAAAGATGAAATACTCTTCTTTGATCAAATACTTCTACTGCAGTTTTTGCAATGTGTTCTTGCTCCACAGCAGTTTTGTCATAGGAATTTATGATAAGGACTCAAGGACATTAACAAATAACAGGGGGAGTTTAGCATAAACTCGATTTTTATAAGAAGCGTTGAGAATTTTTAGTACTGAAAGATTCTTAATCTTTTATTGAATTAACTACTCGTAGTTTCTAAAAAAATTCCCACTCTAATATTTTCTGATCAATGCGGGTATTATTATTCCAAACTGTAAGTTTCAAGTTTCTTATCCGTAAGTTCACCTTGCCTGATCGTAATTTGATTCAACTCCCGTCAGAAAGAAAGAAAAAGAAAACGGGGCAAGTGTGCAATTTGGATCCAGTGGAGACGGGATTCACAATAGAAAACGATTGGATGGGTCAGCTTCAGCCTGTGAATTTTAATGTTTAGAAATTTTTTTATATTTAAGATAAAAAAACTTCTTAAATATAAAATTCACAAGTTTGGTCTTAAGAAAAAAATTCCAAGTCAACCGTTACATTTTCCAACTGTAACTGGATTTTCCAAACTTTGGGGGGCGTTACGCCCCCCACGCCCCCCTATTATTTACGTGCCTGTCAGTATTCTTCGTAAGTTGGGTTTTGTTTTTACATTCCTTGAAGAACGACGACAAGTTTTTATTGCTATGAAATTGAAATTTGGTTAAATGAGGGCAATTCTGTTATTTAGAATTATTGTGGTCTAGATTATTTTCCTTGACTCGCTTGCAGGCGTTCTTTTACATTTTTTATACATCTGAACCTTCTCTATCGATGTTTCGGGCAATTTAACCTAGCGTTCAGAATCTTTAACAACAAACTATGTAGACTAACTTACCACCATTTCATCCTGTTAGCCCTTTGTCAGTGGAAACGCCATCAGGGGCTGAAGCTCATCGAAACCAAACCCCGTTATTAACGAGTCTTAGTCAGCTCTCGAGTCCCAGAGGTAAGTTTCACCATTATGCTTACACTAGGTAGCAACAATTTTTTGTTGATTGGAACTACTTTTTTGCTTTCTTCAGCTATTTCCACTTATAATTTGTAATTTAATTCTCTTATAAGCAATTTGATCGACGCTTAAAAAACCCCCTTTTCACAGTAATTCTTGAAAAAAGGGCGTGTACTGCTTACCTATAAATTCGCAAAGTGGTTCATCATAGTTGTAATATTTCAGTGCTCCCTCATTCATTAATTCATTCATTGTGGTTTAAGCAACTTGCCAGCTCATATCGTGTGAATAACGAAATAAATTCAAATAGATTCTTTTTAATTAACGTTATACCTTCCTCATTACAGTGGTATTACCGGCTGTCGACGATGGCGATTCAAGACCAGGCTCCGCAGCCCTGATAAGATCTCGACCAGCATCCGCAGCCTCGGTTGACTCTGTCTCCGATTCATTGCACCCTTTGGTATGACCCACAACGAGGCACCAAAGAAACCCCAATAGAATGCTCCCGCCACTGCAAGTTCGAGTCAGGGCTACAGACAATCGAAATCCTGGCAGTGACGTATGAAACCTTGTATAGCTAACATGCAAACATTGTAAATACAACGTATATCTGTAGATCCGTACATGTCAAATTAGAGGAACAAGGAAATCAGAGCACCATTACCGCCGGACCAATCAAGAACTTTCCTGGGGTCTGGGACCCTTGATAAAGTCATTGTTGTTTTGTCAGAAGCTTTGTTACATCTTGGTCGGGCCCCTCTCAGCTAAGGGCACGGGGAAATCTGCCTTCCCTACCTCGCCTGCTTTCCTTGTGCCCCTGCCAATTATTGAGAGAACATGTGATTTGTGTTGGGGCAATGAGCTTTGCGGCATATACATTTACCAAAAACATGTCGCTTTCCTTCCACTTGGAGAAGGTGATTTTTTTAAATCTGGCTTTAATTTTAATTTGTGATTTTATGCATTTAGTATCGTGATTATATGCATAAAGTATAAAGTATTTAATATCAGCTCTCGGAGTGGTCTGTAGCATGTATAAATCATCGTCGTATCCAATACGTATTGATTGTGATTTTCAGATTTACTAATCAGTCTGTAGATTATTAGGATCTTCCGTAATATCAAAAGTCCGCATCGTGCTTTTGTATTTTTCATTTGATTTCCTTGACTAAGTCCTCTTCAAACCACGATATTACCTAAGTTGAAACTTGGATTTGAAATTGTATAAGCAAGCTTTATTAAAGCATACATCAGGTGACGCATACAAAGCCAGAGGACGCTAAAGATTATATTTAGAGGGGGGGGGGGGTACGGCAAATCCCCAAATTAGCCGAACAAAGTTGTTCTGCAGAAGTGTGACTGTTGGCAGTAATTCAACGGCGAATTGCTTCCAGTGAAATCTGAAATCTGAGAAAATACAGAGAAATTTTAAGGAAGAAATGGACTACATTATTTCGATGAATTAATTTATAGCAATTCGTCTAAATTTATAATTTTGACAAACGCCTTATTGGCTACGCCCCTGCTCAAAGCCTACCCAATAACATACTTAAAAGGTCACGAAACAATTTTAATAGAACTATTTGGATAGGAACTATCCGACCTGATTGGAATCGTTTGGGCAGTGGCGTAGCTAGCCAAATAGCAGTGGTCATGCCCTCCCCTCAAATTTGAAAAAATATGGGTGTCGCCAAATTTTACCACGCCCAATTTTTTAGTTGATGAATTCCTTTTGGAAATTTTAATTTTAAGGCTTGTGACTTATAAAAAAATTGTGATTAACTTTTGGAATGAGCTTTCCTTATTTCATAGCAATCATCTTGTTACACTATGAAATTACCTTTATCTTATAGCTGTGACACTGTTTTGGATTGTTGGTAATTTATACAGACAGAGTTCTGACAATTTCCAAACAGAACTGTACAAAAGACATTAAAAAAACATTAGTTTAGTATAGTAGATAAACTTAGCTTAAATTAAAAATTGTTTTGTTCTCCTAATCTCTTTCAATTTGCAGGCTGAAATACATTTGTAAATTTTAGAGATAAGCTAAAATTTGTATATGAAACAATAAATCACATGAAACTGAATGGGAGCTTTTTGGTCATCTTTTCCACAAATAGTCTTATTATCAATCTGTTGAAGATATTTTAAAGCCATCACGATTAACTAACAACCCCAATAGAATTGATAGATGAATAAAACAAATTGGCAAATGAATATCCAATGTATATATTGATATGAAATATAGGAAGCTAAAATAATGGATAGGCCTAGTTGCAAAATGTTTTCTGCAAAGTTAGACTTAATAGAAAAATACCTTGCAAAATAAGTTTAGCTTAACAAAAACATTGATGTTTCCACATATACTTGTGGTAAATATCCACATGATTGGATTGTCCTTACTAAATCTAGCAAACAAGGGTTGTAAATGAATAATTTGATCTTGTAAATTTTCAAATACATCAAAAGTTGTAATAGTGAAATAAAACTGTTTAACTAACAAGATCAGTAACACGCTTGACTTGTCTCTGGTCATTTTATTTCAACAGCTATAAGTAGTAAAAAGTACTTTCAACTAAAAGTGAAGTCAGTAGAGCTTTGAGTTTGACTTTAATTGTGTGTAAAAACAGTGTTATTGCATGTGATAATAAACAAAAAATTGAAGAATAACTTTAAGCAAGTTCTGGCATTCCCTATCCATTAACTACAATCTTATTGTCCTAATCATAATATGGTAACAATGCTTTTAAAGGGCTTAACAGTTTCTGAATATGCTGCTAAATGTCTGGAAAGTTTAAGCTCTCAAATCTGTTGGTTTGGAAAATAACACTGTTATCTCCTCCATCCATCTCCAGTGAACAGCATCAAGATTTGGCATTCACTAAATCAAGAAGATTCTCTGCAAATGTTCAACTAGTAACAATTGATTACTGAAAAGGCTGAGAGTTTGGTTTGGTTGCATAAAATGATCCTGCGGCGAAGGTGAAGGATCCGGTTCGGATAATCCGATTAACCTCGTGTCATACACGTCAAGGAGTTTTTTTGACTACATCAACGGATCACAGGCATTGATCACAGGTCGCCTAGGGTCAGGGAACGCTCTCCTAGAAATATGACATCAAGCAAAACATGGTAGCTCTCCGGATTGTTCATGTCCGCCTGATCCTGTTCGCTGATTTTATGTCCAAAATGGTCTTTCGTGCCTGTCACTTCTCCACATAGTGCAACACCATTAAGGCTGAAAACCCCTGTCGTTGCCATAAAATGTTCTGGAGATTAACATGAGTCGTGGCTGCTTGGCAATAAGCTTTTGTTTGCATTTTACTTACAGAGAATTACCTCCCAGCTCGTGGATCTAGGCATAGCAGCGCCGCCATCGATGCCTCGCATTCGCGTTCACGAAATAACACAGGACGGTTTTGATGATTATAATGATGGTCATGCCCTCTCGAAATGGCATGACTAGCCTTTGTTCTCTCCTGCGTCACTCCTATTGTTAGGCATGACCAAACACTTTATTCTTACGAAAATATAATTTTTTGAAAAATGTTAACTCTGAAAATTGATGGTCATGCCCGGCATGACAAGCATGACCGCTAGCTACGCCACTGCGTTTGGGATTGGAAAACTGAGGGAGTTGTCTGAAAAAGGCGAATTGATTGTTGTTACTGGGAAGTGGATTGTCGTTTAAAATTTCGCAAAAAAGCAGGTAACTATTAAAGATTATTGCTTTTAATTTGTCTTGAGTCAGGCAAGGTATGTACTTCCAACTTATTTTGGCATAACCCTTTTTGACATAAATTTTCCACGCATATAGAAAAGTAGTGGTGCTTTAAACAGAAGAAAAATATTCGCACGTATCAGCTTTTTAATCGAAATGAATCCAAGTGAGGTACAAAATTGATTCACAAATATATAATGTGATTTTTCTCGTGTTTGAAAAGCTGAATGTCACAAGAATAAAGCCAAGAAGAAAATATTATTAACAACAGCAACAGCAACAACAACAACTTTTTCTGCACCAACTGGGACTCACCAACGGGGCAACCACCAAAAAGTTACGCTAAAAACGCTTGTTTAATTAGATCTACTAGCTGGCCTTCTTAGTATTTTTGTTCCTTATTTAGAGTGTTAATGGAGGCTGTGAAATACCAGGACAGAGGCGCAGAAGCTTTCTCGGGACCCGGAGAAATTTTTGAGAAATCCTAATTTGTTTTCTTTGCATTCGAGTGAATAATAAAATTCAAGCAGTTTGTTGATGATGATATCGAAGGGATTCTCGTTGGCTTGTATATTCCAAGTTTGTTTTGGTATTGTCGCAGGTATGTTGAATTCTAATGCATCTGCATTTAATTATCAGGATTGTAAATAATGGGCATGCAGTTTCATGTTTCTGTGGATCGTCTTGCTTTCCTTTTTGCCTTTGGCTGTAGATTTTTTGGAATTTTCCTGATCAAAAGAAAGTAAAAATACCTGCTCTTTTTTACGCCTACTACACTAATTCCAAGAAATTGACGGTTATTCAGAATTAAAATCCACGTGACTTTATGGCTACACGTGGGCCAATTATGGTTTAAAACACAGAGGGTAGGGAGGGTGTGGCATGGCACCCAGTATTGATATGATGACCGTTGCTTTATTTCTTTTGACTGCATAATTTGACAACTGCCTCGGTAGGTTCAGATATTCAATATGATTATTTTTAGCGATTTTCAATGAATTTTTTGAAGACTTTTATGTTTGATTGCCACATATGTGATTTTTTCAAAATATAAACGCTTTATTAACAGTATAATATAGTTTTGATGTGAAACTTTGTGCACAAATATGTTCTTCTTTGTAAATATTTTTTGTGTAGAAAAAGTTCAAAACAAAAAATAGGTATTGAAAGTCATTGAATATTCTGATTCAGAGCATTTGTACCCATGCCTAGGCCAAACCATTTAATGTATTAAATATATGGATAAATAAATTTTTGAAGATTCAAATGATTCTGTTTGCTAGCTGACATTGTCATTTTATCTGCATATAGGTGGTTACACACCAAAATGGTCATGTGACTTTGAAGGTGGTTCATGTGACTGGTTACAGTCTCAAGATGATGGTCTGGATTGGACCAATGATATTGGGAGTAAATGGAATATGGTAGATCATACTATTGGATCTCTATATGGTAAAGTTATTCAAATATTGTTTGACGATACCCATGAAATTTTTGAAACAATGCTCTTTTTTTATCACAGAAATGGCTCCTTTTTGCAAGATTTATCTGCACTTATAATTTCTATGCACTAATAAAAAAATTGAAAAATTTACTTGACTGCCCTCAAAGCTTCTATTTTTGTTACCAAGTACTTTAATTACATTAAAAATGACATATATAGTACTTTTTTCATTGCAAAATGTTTCATGTATATGCAATCAAAAAACATTATGTGGGTAAGCTACAATACACTTATCACTGAGAAGTACTGTTTCCTTAAGTGAGTCTTTTATTTCCTGCAAGGACATTTTATGTTGCTGAGGCTGTCATCATTACACAGTGAAACTGGAACAGGAAAGCTTGTTTCACCATTAATGAGGCCAACAAAAAAGCCTTGTCAGGTACTCTGTTATTTCATGTTGAAATTTTTGATCATGTTTTATGATCTACCTGACTGGTTTCAGAAATTTTGTCATGTTTTATTTCCCTCTGGGATTTTGCATTGCAAGTTGCAGATATTCAGCTTTTAAGAAGATGGACAAATCAAGTGCATTGTCGGTATTGATCATTTGAACAGCCTTTCTTCTCCTTTTTGAAGAATAGTATTTTCTCCCCTGATTTCAAGATCTAATCAGTGTTATCAAAGTTTTGCCTGCTTTCTTTTGATAAAATTGAGCAGATTCTGACCTGGCCTGATTCTGATTTAGTGTTTTTAAGATTCAAAAGAGCACTTGGAAGAACAAGATTGCTCAAACGTTTTGAGAATGAATTGTGGAATCAGCTTTTTCCCTCAAAATTTTTTTATTCAATATCATCAGTAAAACTACTTGATTTTTCAAAGGCTTTCCAGCCTACATTAATATGACCACCTTTCAATACTTCTCAAATATGACAGTTCTAAAAGTTTTCTCCTGAATCTTAACCTTTTCAAGATTGAAATGAGCGATGAGGGTAGTGCATTGAACTTTAATAAACTTTTGTATCTAATTAAAATTGTCGAATCAGACCCAGTTGACCATAATTACAACTGCAGCTCCTGAGCAAAGAGCAAATACGTTTTTTAAGATATTGCTAATTTCCACAGATGGTTTTCCACTACCAAGGCAAAGGTTCCAGTGGCTACCCTTTGCAACTTGTTATAAGAATATTATCAAAAGAATTTACCAAGATATTTCACAAAGATCTGTTCAATACTACAGTGATGCCAAACTATTGGGAAAAAGTGGAATTGAGCATACAAAGTAGTGCTTATTATCAGGTGAGAAGAATTTGATGATACCTCTTATTTGTCACAATTTTTCTGTAAGGTGCAATAATTCATAACCACATGTTTTCTACTGTAAAACATCCAAACTTTAAAGCCTAAACTGCTGTTGTTGTTGGAACTGTTGGCAGTGTCTTCTGCAAAACAAAAAGCCCAGCCCATTTATTTGGTGAACCGTTCTCATTAGAATTCTGTTTATATGCATTTTCACATCCTTTTATTGTTCACACTTAATTACCATTGTTTTAACGCATTTTAAATACTCGTTTTTGTTTCTAATTGCGATGCACATTAACTCATATCCATGGAAACAATTTATTTTATGTTTTAGTTTTTCTTATGTGGAGTGATAGTTCAGTTAGTAAGGATAGAGGAATGAATTGAGATAGAGAAATGAAAGATTGGTTAATTTATTTGAATTCTCAAGCGGTGAATTCCTTCCATTTATTTCATGCATAGAGATCTCTTTAAAAACCTCTATAAGCCCGAAACAGTAAGTAATATCTTTCCCCTCCTCTGAGGTACCAGAGTTGAGGCAATTCACTTTTCAGTTGGGGGGGGGGCAATGCCCACAAAAGCAACAAAATTTGCCTAAAAATGACATAATTTATTGACGAAAGTGTCTTAACCAACTATTTAGCAAAACCTGGGGGCACTTGCCCCCCCCCCCCACACACCCACAACTTCTGCCACTGAGAGTTACCCATTAATGCCTTCTAAAGTCTGCAAAGGCATCAAGCACTGTTGCGTTGAAAAAGGCAATACATACAAATATATTATTTTATCTTCATATATTTATCCATATATATTTCTTCTTGGTCAATTCAATCTTTATATTTTTGTATTTGATAGTTGGAAATCGTGGGATACATTGCTCGCTCAAGAAGTGCATATATTGCTATTGATGACGTCATGTTCACAAGTGAATGTCTAACAGATGGTAAAAGTGTTAATATTGCCATTTTGTTGAATCCCCTAACAAACCTATAGACTGTCAGCTCTGTTGCCTCTCATGGACAAATTCTTTTCAGGCAAAAAACGCTTGTTACAGAAAATCACAGTCAGAGAGCTCTGTGAGCTCTGCTGAAATATATGTTCATCGTAGGATATTTAACTTAATATTTGGTTTTTTTTGAAAAATTCCTCGAGATTTACGTTAATAAAGATTACTTTTTACTGGTCTGTTATGCATAGAGTATTCGATGCCGGCAGAGCTGTACATGCTTTGTATAAAGAACAGGGCAGTTCTTAGTTGTAGCTTAAAGTTTCACGCTTTATGTGATCATCAGACAATTTAACATTAACCCTTATTTTACAATCAAATTAACCTTATCTTACTTTACATTTTACGCAGAGGAAACAGGTGTGAAGATTCTGAAACCGCCCTTCTCCTCTGCATTCAATTTCCCAGAAGGTGTATTCTACTATCTTGGAAGTGTGGTTTGCGAAAAATACACAGGTAGCTTTGACTTGAATTTACGTTATTTCTTTTTTATCTATAATATTATTCTCTGCATCATTCAAAAATATAAGCCTCTCCGTATAAAAATGCTCGCTTCTTTTTAAAAAAGTTAGTCTCATTGTGGTCGCGACTAAACCTCTTTTTCATTGAACTAAAAATGCCAGTGGCTATCTTTTCATATTTTGTGCGATTCCGCTATGCCCAAGAAATACTTCTATATTGCTTTTCGTAACAGCTTTTCTGTGAAGTGATGCACAAAAGAACCCTCTAGATGCTAGCATCCCCGTTAAATTATACACTCAATCAAACTTGCCTCTTTTTTACTCCTAGCCGCTAACATCATATCCTGTACATGCTTGCTGAATTTTTGCCAATGAATATTTAGTAGAACTTCTAATTACTTAAAAGCTGTTCTTTGCACAATCTGGAAGGCAATTCAACAAATTTGTTCCTCACACTGAAAGGCCACTTTTCGAAAAACAATTTTTTATTAGATGATTCATTTCCTCAGCTTCAGCTTCTAGACGCAGTTTCTGTGTTCATTTTAGCCCAATATGTCTGCAAATTGCTAAGACAGAACGGTTTGGCAAGAGACAGTTTAGTCATACGAGGATTATATTCCAGTCAAAGAATGTGCTTTCCTCCAGAGTGGAATCCACCAAATGCCACAGGATGCAATCTCAACACAAGATGCATCGATGCAATATTTTGGAGATGCAAACAAGGTAACTGGTATGCGTCTTTTCGATAAATGCAATCTGTAACATCTAATTTTGCAGCGATCTTTTGAAGAATTTATATTTGCTGTATCAGTGTACATGGTAATCTTTTTGTAGATCAGTCGAATGAAATCTTTGGAGACATAAAAGTGCTGTTAAAAAAAGCAAAATCATTGCAAAATTTAGAAGTGAAGAAAAACTAGAAGCAAGAGACACAGGAAAAAATCATCTTTGTTTCAATTTTACCGAAAAGCTTACTTTCCAAATGAGTAGGACCACAATGGTAGTATTTTGCTACATCACATTGATAAAACTTAAGCCAATCGGTTAAATATCTTTTCTTCCTAATGATATTGATTCAGCGGCTTATTTTAAGTATTGGCTAAAAGCCATCAGTGAAATATCTCTCTTAAATTAATTAATTTTTTTATGTAACATCACCTAAATCAGCCCTAACTTAGGCCATTCAAAAGCCATGAACTTTTTGGAGTTCTCTGGAGGAAGTTCTTTTTGTAGCGTTCGATCCTTAGAATTTTGTTTTCGATATTTTGCTGCAGTTTGAAGTGGCTTCTCTAAAAGAGATTAGCTATGACAGACTTTCATTTGTCGGAGAATCTAGAAACAAATGGTTTAGAGGAAGATGAATTGGAAATTGAAATAAAAGTGAAAGATGAATTAGATCGTTTAAATGCAGCCATTAAGGGCATTAACCAGTTGGGCAAAGAGGCCAGTAATGCAGAGACGTTGTTCCAAAACACTATGAAGGAGTCATTTACGGCACTAGAAGACTGTGCAAGAGAAATCGGAGTTGAACGAATTGAAAGGGCCAGGCCATACTTTAATGAAGTAAAACTGGTTCAACGGGCAAGCAAGCGAGTCCATTTGGAAAGGGAGTTATGCAAACGAATTGAGGAAAATGAAAGAGAGGCAAAAGAAAGAGCAAAGGAGGCTGAAGATTGCTGTATGAAAATGATGGGAAATTCATATGTTGACGTTGATGCTTTGGAGGCCTTGAATCAAGCTGTGCTGGATGTCATGAATAATGCTTTCATTAAGGCCTCTAGGTGTCACGAACTTGATAAGTATGATAAGAAGTACACAGAGAGAAGAAAGAATTTGGCAAAGTTGCAAGCACGTTTGAGAAACGAGATTGATAATGCTAGGCCGTATTATGAGCTAAAAAACCAGTTAAACAAGATGTTACTTTGCAAGAAGAAACGGGTAGAGAGTATAAAAGATGGTCTGAAATCTGCAAGGAATGTTTACAAGGCAAGCATGAAGAAGATCGAAGAAATGAGCGAAGATATACATAAAGAAAGAGGCACTGTTTGAATAGATAGACTTTATAACTTAACATAACCTAAGAAAATATGAAAGGAACCAGATTTGAAGGGATATGTTGAATTTAAAAAAGAAAGCTGTTATGTTTCCAGTACATAGAATATTTTTGAAACCAGTAATAACATTTTGGATAGTAATACTAAAGGGATGTAGTGCTATGAATTTTATACGTTGTCAAATGAATTTTAATTGGCTGTAATTTTTGGATTTCGCATCTTTATCTGTCATTTTTAGATAATGTTTTCCGCGAAACTGCCCTTGGGTTGTCTCTGTTTCAATATCTGTGTTGAAGCTACTGCACAATTCAATCTGCAACTTTGCTCCAGAAATCTTCCTTTCATGCCCTTTCATTCCTCTAAGGCCTCATCTTTAATCAAAGGAAATTCCTCGGTCAGTCGTGTTTTGCCTATTGGTGTTCAATTGTTTGTAAGCCTTGCTATCGGCCCTTCTACGACTCCTAGCAATGTGTCAGTAAATCATTATATTGATTGGCGTTTCTTTTTTCTCGGGATCTCCTTTGGTCCTTTCCAAGTTCCTTTTAATCATTCAAATCAACTTGGCATTACAAGGTATTTTTGCACATCAAACACTTCCTCTATCGGCAGATCATATCTTCAAGTGCCCAGATCTAACACACAAGACCTGCACCAGCGCTTTTGGAACACCAAAATGTTATTCACACAACCAGCAATGTGATTACGTCAACAACTGTCCTGGAGGGGAAGATGAAGATGACTGTCATCTATTCAACAGATGCAACTTCAAGAAGGATTTCTGCAGCTGGGTTCCTTCGAAGAACATAACTCTGAAATGGAAAAGATATCGAGATCTTGGTATGCATGATTTCATTCTAACTTGTGGACTCTCTCTGATCAGCAAGATGGTGGAATCAAAAAGTAGCTTAATTATTTAGCACTTTGCATAAGCAAGAATTATTTGAGGCATATTTTACTGGTGTAACACGAAGGACTGGGTATCTGAAAAAGGGAAAATTTCTTATTTCTCCTGGTTTTTCATTCCCTTTTTTTGGTATTGACTATTTTGTCATTTCTTTTGTTTACTCAAGCTGTCTTCCTTCTGCCAGAAACGGCTCCTTGTCACTACATTTTCTGAATTTAGCTTGAAAAATTATAATTGCACAAGAGCAATATGACTGCTTTTCGCCATAACTGACCCTCGATCTTTCAAAGAAGTAGAAATAACAAATCAATGTTCAGTAATTTATCTTTTTGTGAGCACCATACTGTTTTGTTTCCATTTGTAGGAGCTGGTGGACACATCACAAGGGATAATAATCTTTAGAAAACCAAAACATGCCCTCGATCTATCAGAGGATTTGTTTAAACAAGTCAGTGTTCACCCTCTAGCAATGAAGCACAAGGTTGCATCATATTGTGTTATTTTCATTTGTAGGATCCGGTGGATACATCATAAGGCTTAATAGTTCTGTGACCCAGGACAAAACAGAAGTATCAAGGTTGCAGCTGCATGGTTTTATTAAAGGTTTGCTTGATTGGTCTTTTCCTTGCCTTTAGAAGCATCAGTTACCTTTAGGCCCTTCATGTGCTTATTTATGGCTTTTGGTTTGTTTTGAATGGAAATGATGAACTGCTGGTTTATTCAAATGCTAAGAGCGTTACGAGGATGTCTTGTGGCTGTGTCAAAGATTGGTAATTCATAGTTATCTTCAGTTTTACTAGAATTTGTATCCTTAAACCCAAAAGGTTTATAATGCAATGTTGTTTGGAAGTCAGTGGCGGGGCCAGCAACTAGAAATCTGTTTTTTGGGTGGGGGTGAAGTTTAAAGAAATCCAGGTCACCCTCTTTTTGCCAACATGGAAAGTTAATTTAACCAATCGCAAACGCCTATGACTAACTTTTGTTTACGTACAGGCAATTTCAAAATCATAAAACAACGTCACAAAAAATACTTTCCCAAAATGATACATCTACCCTAATATTTTCACGTCGAACTTACTCTCAAGTTCCTAATTGTAGTTGGGTTTACTAAGGAGAGGAGGGTGGCATTTTTTTTAAAAACCATGGAAAATCGTTCTTGCCGAGAATTGGGGCAGGGACGTTTCTGTGGCATTGTTGGGAATAATTACTACTATGGATATAAACTATTCTTTGGATGTTATATTTTTAATGACTCTTCAATGACTTTGAACAACATTCCAAAAAAATTGTCTGAGATCAAAACTGGATATCACAAATATGTTGATTTTCACTGTTGTATATTTTTTAAATTTTGGTTGTTTATAAGTTTAGTATTAGTTGTTTATAATTTCACATTAAGTTCTTCATTCTTTGCAACACTTTGTAAATTTTTTATTTCTTCTATTTCTTTTAGATTTTTTTATGAAATTCAATATTCTTTTTAAGGATCCACCAACTTAATCTGCGTGATACGATTTTCATATCGGATGCTTCCTTGGCACAACGTGGTTCTAAGACTGGTCCTTAAGTGGCCTGATGAGAGTAGAACGGTTTGGTCGAGGACACAGGCGAGGAACGATATGTGGAGAAAAGAATTTTTGGAGCTTCGTTATTCTGGAATCTTTGAAGTGAGCTCGTTACTTCATTGGTTAGCCACACATATTCACCTTTATTTATTTTGTATTGATTTTGAAAAAGGCCCTGTATCCAAGTATTTCAAGTACATTTTGTGGATAATCTAAAAGTAGTGTTGATCTACTGCTAAAGGACAAAAATGCTTTATGAAGGCCAGTAACTATTTGTTATTTTTGTTACCATTATTTGCTAGAACTAGAAATTGGCTTTGAAAAAAAAACATTTTACAGCATACTGAAAAATTTTTTCAAAATGAAAGAGTTTAAAATGTCAGAATAAGGGTCCGAAAGGAAAAAATGAAAAATAGATACCCAGTTGTCGATCGAAAATATTTATGTAAGAATTAAAAATATTTTCGTCAACACAATTCATTAATCACAATTTATTACAACTGTAATTACATAAACACTTTATAACTGTTGCCTGATGATCAACTCGGAGTAGCAACTTCGAACCGTCCAGTTCTATACACCAAAAACGTAAACACGATATTAAATCCACAAGTAATGAAATATATTAAAATCTTGATTTACGTAGTTGAAACCAGCTTTTTCTTTGTAGCCAGCAGGCAATATGTTAAACTTTGGTACTGATTACATATAAAATTAATTTTTATCATTCCTGTCCTGTTTATTTCAGTTATGGTTCGAAGCTGGTGGTAAACCAGATGTTTCGATTTACATTGATTTAGCCAATGTTTCCTTCTCCAAACAATGTGTTTTTATTAACGAATCTAAAGGTATGCCTATTGACATTTTCAATGCTCTAGTGAAAAAAAGCAAAGACTACTTAGAATTGATATTGTAATCAGCATATCTGTAGCATAATTAAGGGATGCCAACACAGTTTCGTCTTACCAAACATGTGATCGCTGGCTAAGAGTGAGACTGAAGCCCCTGAAATCTCTCTAAATTTTAACAAGGAAGCTGTGTCCCCCGAGTTCCCCCTCCATTGCACCCCTGCCCTGACGTTAATTTTATAGAAGCTCTAGTATTTCTCTCTTTTCAACTCTAATTTGGTTTTTTCATTTCTATATCAGTAATATGTCTCTCCCGTTTTTACAAAGACAATTAAAAATATGGGATTTGATGAGTAGATACACGTATGTTGTCAATTTATTTCAAATGATAATGAATTAAAAAAGAAAATATTTTAAAAAGAAATTCCCAAACGCCAAAGTGCCTAAATTTATACCTGTTTCTGCAGTCAATCCATATAACCAGGGACGAAAACAAGTTGCTAATTTTGGGGGGGCGTGGAAGTATGAAAATTCCAACTTCAAGTGATAAATTTTTCATTCGACCAGTAGATCTGTTGTACCTACCAAATTGATATTTGTAAATAGCCCGAGGACCATAGTTCTATTTTCTTTATAATTACCAAATCTTTACTCAATAATTAGCCTAAAGCATAAAAGCCTAAATCTCTAAATTTTGATTAACATGAAACAAACATTAAACATACTGTAAAAAGGAAAGCAACATTTAAGCAAAACCAGTATTAGATATACTTAATGATTAGTAGTATTCTTTCAGATCAATTGATCAATTTTATCTAAAATACATTTTTTCACGATATAGAAGCACCAAGAATTTGGGCCTTTTATTTTCGTTCTTGATCGAAGAAAACTACCTTTAAACTTTTCAGAGGGCCAAATGCCTTTTCATTCTTTACAATTGAAATGATGATTTGAGAACAAACTTGTGCATATGCCTGATTCGAAAGATGAATACTCTTCTTTGATCAAATACTTCTACTGCAGTTTTTGCAATGTGTTCTTGCTCCACAGCAGTTTTGTCATAGGAATTTATGATAAGGACTCAAGGACATTAACAAATAACAGGGGGAGTTTAGTATAAACTCGTTTTTTATAAGAAGCGTTGAGAATTTTTAGTACTGAAAGATTATTAATCTTTTATTGAATTAACTACTCGTAGTTTCTTAAAAAACTCCCACTCTAATGCTTTCTGATCAATACGGGAATTATTATTCCAAACTATAAAGTTTCAAGTTTCTTATCCGGAAATTCACCTTGCCTGTTCGTAATTTGATTCAACTCCCGTCAGAAAGAAAGCAAACGGGGCAATTGTGCAACTTGGATCCAGTGGAGACGGGATTCACAATAGAAAACGATTGGATGGGTCAGCTTCAGCCTGTGAATTTTAATGTTTAGAATTTTTATATTTAAAATAAAAAAACTTCTTAAAATATAAAATTCACAAGTTTGGTCTTAAGAAAAAAATTCCAAGTCAACCGTTACATTTTCCAACTGTAACTGGATTTTCCAAACTTTGGGGGGGCGTTACGCCCCCCACGCCCCCCTATTATTTACGTGCCTGCATATAACTTTTCTATGTCATTTATTTGTGTTAGTCTTGAAAATATGATTCTTCTTTATATCTTTTCTTAAGTCAAATTCAGTACTCTATGCCCAGATAATTTGAACAAAGTTTAATTGTTAACGATTAATGAAACATCTTTTCCATAAAGATTTATCTATCTTGACAAAAGCGGCAATATTTTTTCCAGCTTTGCTACGTGAGCCAGCAAGCTATTTTTTATGCCGAAATGGCCAGCAAATTTCACGAAAGCAAATGTGCAACTTGAATCAAGACTGTCTCGAAAACAGCGATGAACTGAATTGTAGTAAGTTTTGCTAAATTTTCTCCACTCAATAACTGAATTACTCAACCTCTAATCCTCGGTTGCTTTTCCATTTTTTATCGTAGTCAGCTGCTGTATTGCATAAATTAGATGTCTTTTATTATTGCTCTATTTTTTCTTTGTTAATTTATAATTTCCCTTTCAACTGTTATTTAATTAAGATGAAGCTGGTCTTTTTAATTGTTTCATTTTATCCAATGTTAACCACTGGTTTAATTTCTTATTTTCACTTTTTATTTTTTGATCTATTTATTTATTTTCGCTCATAAAAATCATTTCTATGCTTCAAGATAGCGTTTTTTAAGTGTGTCTCTGCGTTTATTCTCCCCATTTTCTTTCATGGAAAGTCGATTTTTTATCTTTTTACTTTCTAATTTATCATTTCGTTACTTTGCTTATTCAACTTCACAATATTTTCTTTTCTATTGAACAGCTTATGACAAAGAGCGTTGCACTTTTGAAAATTCTCTTTGCAACTGGAAAGTCGATCAAAATGTCCCAATTACTTTGACACGTCGGACAAGCAATGCAATGCATGGTTTTTTTGGACCACAAATGGATCACACAACTAATAGTACAAGTATGTGCCAGAATTAATTCAAAACTACGTTATAGTTTTTGAATGCAAGGCTGACCTAAGAACAAAGTTTGCAAGAAAGAATAAGTGTGTCCCTAGTTGATCCCAGTTGCTTTTAATACACTTGCCTCTCCAGGTATCAATAACAATTCTCATCTTGCCAGGGGCGAGTTATATGTTCCTATTACAAGATTCAATAAAAAAACAACCACAAAAGTATTCTGTTGAGTGTCTCAGTTTTCAGTATCCAATCTTCATTGCTTGGATCTCCTGGAATCTAACCTTTGAAGATAGAACGAACAAAATTGAAACAAATTCTTTCTTACACAGGATCTTTTGATGTAGACACATTTCAAAACACCTAAATAGATAGAAGAGTACTTTTTCTCTTTTGGACTATAGGGAAACTAGATGAAAGGTTAGGGGTTGCTGATTGATCAAAACAAAGAACCAATCAAATACGGCATTCTCTATCTCAGTCTCATGTCGCGTTAGCTTCAGTCATTATAGGACGTTCATACGCTGAGGAATGTCGAGCGAGAAGAATTTAGTGTTTCCACTTGTCCGTCCTATTTTCAAATTTCCAATACCAAAAGCTTATTGGGGAAAATATTATCTTATATGCATGAAATATATCCGTAAATTGGTATTGCATGTTGTTTCCAAGCTATGGCCTAAAAACTTTCATTTCAAACCTACAACTTCATGCCTTTAATTTTCTTTTTGGTCCGCAGGTGGCTATTATATTCATTTTGATGCAAGAAAGCGCTTACCAGAAGTCTTTGGCCAGCTCATCAGCAATGTAATGCAAATTTCGAGCTCCAGGAAATGCACGGTATGCTAAGCTTTGCACGTTATGGTGTATCCTCTATGATTAATTATATTTTTAGAGTTCCCGTGACGTGGCTGGCTCTGATACTAAAGTCCAGATTGTTTAAGGATATCATAATGTGTCATTGGGTAACTGACTGATAATTTAGTAAGATGTTAGCGATCCAGAAATCTCGAGATATTGTACTACAAAAGACAAAATTCTAGCCTTGCATGCTTCTGCGCTACTTCTTTGCTAACCATCTAAGTAAGATTTTTTTGACTGAATTCTTCACAAACGTCATTGATGCCTATAAGACTAATAACTTTCGATCAGGTTTGCGCTTCAAAATTTGCTCTCTTGAATTTCCTTTATTGGGCGATTAATACACTAATTCGTATAAAAAGGATCCCTCTTTTAAAACTATCAATATTTTTAGATACTGAAAATGGCTTTGAAAAAAGCAGAAAAATTTACACCATATTTAAAGCTATTTCGTCTGACACTCCTCAGAGTCAGATCTTGGGAAGCACAGCTTTATAATAAATAGAATAGCCAGCACGGCGAAAAAAAGAGACATCTTTATGTTTTTATCTATATCATTGCAATAAATCCTCAGAGTATCGACATACATCATTGCAATAAATCCTCAGAGTATAAAACGTCGGAATAAGGTTCCGAAAGAACAAGATGGAAAAACCCATACATTCTTTCGGAACCTCATTCTGACGTTTTATACTCTGAGGAGCGTCAAACAAAAATACTGTAAAATGTTTGCTTTTTACAGAGCAATTTTCAAATTTTGTACCACCAAAAATTGTTCTCTTTAAATATTTTTAGCAAAATTCGAAGTTGTCATTTTGTATCCAAAACAGTAGATTTCTGCTCTATTATTTATTTCAGTATTTTTCGTTATTGTTAAGTAATTTCTGCTTTTCAGACGACCTTTTTTAAAATCTTTCTATTCATCCTGCCATAGATATCTATTCTCTAGAAAGCATTTGATTTTCTAAGCTTTCTTGACCGTATAGTACATATTGACCTTACCTTCCAGCCTTATATCTAAAGGAATGATATTTTGTTGTAGTTCCGTTGGTTCTATCGCATATACCAAGATGGCTACTTCTTCACTGATAAACTGCTCGTCATATACTACAACCCCATTTTGAAGACCGAGAAAAAGCTTTGGTATGTTGAAGGTGAACAGGGAGCGAACTGGAAACTTGGAAGTGTCACATTTGATATTACGTCTTTTAATTATCAGGTGATTAATGATGAACAATTATATTTTTAATTTGAGTAATATTTGTTTGAGACCAATCGATGTGTAACTTGGTTTGGCTGGCTGTGGTGATATAACATATGATGGCTTTTGCCTCAGTATATGACGTCATAAACTATCAGAACCCTTCTTAAAAATTCATGATAATTTGCAAAAATATATTTAAAAGGTTTCTTCAAAACCTGCAAATTTTAGATGGTTAATAGACGATATTTGTATTGTCATGTCTATGGTTAGAGAAACTCGAATATGATATCGGTGCTTTTGCTTCAATATTTTGTTTGAAGGCATTTGAAAACTGTAAATTTCCACTAATACCATATACTCTGTTTCTTGCACATCGCAAGATCATTGATGAAAATCCATGTTTATGAGCAGGAAGTTTCCCTGTCATTAACAATAGATAACATTGCTATCCAGTGTTGAAGGAAAAACTACACTGTTTGCTAGTTAGACCTGTGAGATACTGTAGTGACTTCTGATGATACACTGCTAGTATGGATGTTGTTAAAAAGTATGGCATCATACTGGCAACCGCATCAGTTCTGTTAGATTACACCCTTGATCGTTTTCTAGATTTTCATACTCCTGGTTTTCTATATTTCTGATCATCCTTAATAAATTTCTTGTTGCAGATAATTCTAAGATTTGAACGAGGTGATAGTTTTTTAAGTGACATTGCAGTTGACGATGTCTCCTTTTCAGAGGAATGCTACAAAAGGAATGGTATGACTATTATAATATCATATCATAATAAGTTGTTTTGTTTTAGGTTTGTGAAGGGTCCTGATAACAAATATCCAACGTCTATCACCCTCTTGCAAATTTTTAAAAAATACGTAGCAGATGTTTTTTAATGTTGTTGAATTAATTTAGTGCTCTCGGTTTCCAAAACTCTACATTAGAATAATAATTTTTAATGCTCACTTCTCATTCATGTAGCTGTGATTTATTTAAACAGTCAAGTATAAAGTTTAATAGCTTTGTGCCCTTATACATGATGTTTTTATAGCAAATATAAAAGCACCTTTGAAAGGAATATAATATGAGGATACTTTGTGTTTATTCAATGCAGATTGCTCACAATCACATCGGCTAAAAATGTTGCGAATCTTCTCTTTTTGAATGCTCCTAGATATCTTCCTAACTACTTGATGAACATCAATGATGCTTCGTGTCTCACTCAAGCTTGATCTTCTTGTTTTTCCCTAGAATACTCTCCTATTTCCATAATGCAAGGTTTGTCATGTTGGTTTATACAACATTTCTTGGAATTGAAAGGAGGAAGCCAAGTAGATTGAGCTAAATCTAGAATTCTGTGTTTCTAGCAAAACAGCAGTTAGCATGTTTGATACCATAAAATCATTTAAACTGAAATACAGCTTCTACTTATTTGTGTTTATTGACTGTGAATATTTTTGAGCGCCTTAAAGCTAGAGAATACTAAGTGTAGGGATTCAGTATTTAGTATAAGTGCATTGATCTAATCTTGAATCTTTACAGGGCCTTCTTAACCACTTGTATCTACCACTCATTGTTGTTTAGTTCAAGACATTTCCACAAAAATTTCTCTTATCTTCTTCTTTCTTGACCTATTTTCCCCCTTTTTATTTCCTAGAAGTTATAAAAGTTTTAATTACTTTTTCAATTCACAATTCAACCTATATGAAATAATTTTAAACATCTGATATCTTTGTCCACAGACTGCAGCATTGCAAAGACCTTTTTTACAATCAATGGCAGCACAGCGGCCATCTTGTTTACTTTTCAGCAGAACATGGGTAATGACGTCAACTGTCGATGGTCAATTGACACCGATTCGAGGCTAAAGATAGGGCTGTCTGCAGATTACTTTGTCACAGGTTTGATTTTAACGGATATTTCATTTTCATTGTATGTGTTTGAATTTTAGAAAACTGATTTTTTGCTGCTATTTTCAAGAAATTGCTTGACTACGGGCTCCATTTTAAGTTTAGTCTCTGATTATACCATCATACTGATGATTGCTTGTCTCTAAGATATATCAACCAGTTTTGTAATGAATGTAAGAGTATTGAAGCAAGGACAATGTCTTAATCAGCCGCGAGTAGCCAAGGACATATTTTTCAAACGTTCCCATGTTTTCTGTACATTTCTTCAGTCAATTTTAGATTTTAGCAGTTAGAAATAGTTCAATTTTGATGACTTTTTTCAAAGTAAAAATTACAGAACATCTAATCAGAACATGGTACTAATCCAGAGGCTATGTCTATCTTTTGAACTGTAGAGATAATCTAACTTCTCTATAATCAACCTATCCTATCCTCTTATTTTCCTTCCTCTTAGATCCTAACGATTTTTTGGCAATGCAAAGTGGAAATGTAGATACAAATAACACAGTTGGAAATTTTTCTGGCTACATTGCCCCGTTTTACTTCATCTCAAACAGCAGTAGAATGGAAATTCATTTTCATGCAACACAATTAAACCGCTCTCATGGTTTTGCATTAAACTTATTTTCAACAGATGAAAAAGGTTTGGATAAATTTGGCTAGTTTCTTTAATTACAGCACCAGTTTTAATGCTGATTTCGAAAAGGAATCTAGCTTGAAGTTAACGAGAAAATGTTTTACTTTTTGTGATAGTTGCTCTCTATATATGCTAAAATAACTTACTAATTTTCCTGTCAGTCCAGCTGAACTAAACGCTGTGATAGTAGCTAGCTAGTGTTTACAAACATTTTAAACTGAAAGAAAATTGGATCATTTCTATAAACCAATTTTTTTTATTTTGTATGAAGTACTTTTCACGACAATATAATCATCCAGAAAAAAACATAGAAGAATATTTCTTTTTTTCGCACTATTTTATGTTTCATTTGTCAGTCTGAAGTATTCAGCAACAATATAGCAGAAATACATTCTATAGCATGTGTGACACATTCAGAGACGTGATGTTATATTGCTGTAACTGCCTAGGTCACAAAACACAGTTGCATTTGAATTAAAACTCTTCAAACACGTCAATTACAACTATATCAAGTATTTAAAAGTATCACATATTGCAGCATAAATCATAACACAATTTTCAATGAAATAGCAATTGGAATAACAGATAAAGTAGAAGAAGAATTTTTTTAGATGCAATGCTAAAGTTATATTTGCGGATGATTCTGATGCATAAAAGCAAACAGAACAGCCAGGAAAAGGATGAAACTTCGATTCTACATGCCTACCGAGAACAATTTTTCTCCCAGCGCACACAAGACAATGATATGTCAATCGTGGCTAAATGTTGGCTCAGGTCATGCAATCGCAAACAAGAACTCATTCAAGCTAAATCTATTATCTTACCCTAGCTATTTTTATTGATTAGTATGATAGCTATCAATAAAACGTTAATTGTGATTATTTTAACTTTTCAGCAACTGCGTTGACTTTTTATCAACCAGCACAGGGTAAGAAGAACATTTTTGCTGCACAAAATTTCAGGTCTTTAGTATTTCTTAACCTTGAAAATTTTTCCATATTCTTATTGACGTTTCTTAAAATGCTGGAGAGGGAACTTTGCTATTTGTTTGCTAATTTCGACTTCAAGGTATATTTGATTCTAAGCGAGAAAACTTGCTCTTTTGATTGTAAAATTATTTTAAGATAACAACTGCTTTCATTTTGCTGTATAAAAAATCTAAGAATTTAGGTGTTCACACATTCTCAAGCCTCTTTTCTTTTTTCAGGTCAGCCTACTATCAACTATTATAGAGGTGACTGGACTATCTGCTTCTTATTTACTTTCCACATTAACCAATGCCAAATCTTCTACGTACTTTGTTGCTGTGTTTGTACTGATGATCTCTGATTTTTTATCAAAAGTAAACCCTCCCGACAAAGTAACAGGAAATTTAATCAGGTTACAACTGGATGCATTTTGTCTTGTATAGAAACGTTTTACATGCTATCAAATAATCAAAAACACTTTTCTTGTGGTAGCTTGCCGGCTTTTCCCCTAAATACATTTCGTGCATCTTTCATTATTCAGCTACTCATATTATTTCATCCATGTATTGCCATTCCATTGCCCTTTTCTCTATTACAGTTTGCAACGGACCAGTCTTTACAAAAAGTCGATACCAAGGACGTAAAACTTTTAAGACCCCTTCCAGCTCATATGGCAGTAACTTGTACAGTAAAAATGAAAACTGCACATACCAGTTCTACGTTTCACAGGGATATCGTCTGAAATTCAATTTTACAAAGTTTGATACTGGTAAGACTATTGGAGGTATTTAGTTCTTAGGTATTTATCAATGTAATCATAGCCTTTTATAATGTTAGTGTCACAATGGTGCGAATACTAATATGTCTTAGAACTATATACTGTAAAAGTAATAATGGAGACTGCACTGTTGAATCTGTTGGCTACAGACTGAGCAAGGGCATTTAGGTGCGAGGATGGCTCGGTGGAGGTGCGAGGATGGTTCGGTGGAGATGCGAGGATGGCTGAGTGGTTCTAGCCCCTGACATGATGAAACTTTTACTCAGAGTGAGGAGGGTCGCCAGCTCTCTGTGAGGGACTCCAGGCGTAGTAATCACGAGGTGTGATCACATTAAAAGGAAGGACCAGGACACTGCTTTGACAAACAAGGCTTATTTTAATTCATATAAAACAAATACAACACAACGTCTTCTTTCACAAGAATATATTTTCTAGTGTTCTGAATTGTTTTCCTTTATATTAGTTTCAGGTTTAGCAAATTTTTTTCTTTAATCCTTCGCATCTAGTGGAAACTTTTGGTGACAGAAGCACTTTGTAAATCATTTTGATAAAATCCTTGTGCTATATCTTAAGTTTCTTTATCATCTATCGAAATTGCTTTTGATTGCGAAAAGAAGCACGACCCTTTCAATTCCAAGATAAACAGGTGTTTGTACTTGAAATTCTGAGAGTTCTGTTTTATTTTATTGTAAATCAGAATTTTTCAGACATCCGGCATTAGTTTCTAGTTTATTTTTATTGGTACATTCAATTAAATTTCATTATAAAAGTATAAGGAGGGTTACTTTTCGACAATGGTCCTCTTCTCAAAACTTTCGAAAAAAACAGTTTTTTAAATAATGGCTAAAAATATCCATATTTTTAGGCAATATTTAGTTTTATATATGCAGTTTTTAAGAAGTGTTTAAAGTGGTATAAGAAGTATTTAAGAAGTATTTGCAATCATCTCAGGCTATTCCAGTATTTAACATCACCATTGAGTGTTGATGCATTTGTTCTTTCAGAAAATGGATCTGATTACATTGAAATTTTGAACAGCGCCATTCTTGGTCCTCAGACGTTTTCTGGTGCACTTCAAGAATTCTATTTCATATCAAAGAACAGTTTTCTTTCTTTCAATTTCATAACAAATGACGTCATCGAAAAAGAAGGCTGCACCTTTGATGTTACTGCAACTATGGAATCAAGTGAGTTTCACCTTTAAAAACTTCTTTCAAGAAGAGGTAGTTGTAGCAACTTTGGTGCCTTAGGGGATGATTGACTCTTCGTCTTTCCCCCTTCATCTGTCACATGTTTCCGACAGCTTCACATCATTTGTGAATATGATAGAGTTGCCGTATATTCTAGGTTTAGTCCTGAAATTTGGCTATTATTTCCAGCGATTTCGTCTACTTTAAAACTGGATTTTTCCAGTGAAAGGTGAGTTATGATGTCGGGATCATAGCCTTTTCAAAGAATTAAATTTGATAGAGGTTGGGGGGGGTTGACTGGCCCCTTTTTCCAAGTCTAAAAAAGTAGATTAGTGCCACCTTTTAATTATAACAGGGACATGATCTACTATCTGAAGTATCTTAAATAATTCTATTTTTGTGATAGAGCGGCAAAGCAACGATCTTCTCAGTATGAGAAATCTATACATGTTATCAAGAGCAGCATCAACCAAGATCTAATGTTCTGTTTCAAGCTCTAGCTTTTTTATATCGACCTTTTTGATGCCTCGTCAATAAGTTTTTAATATCATTATAATATGATAATGCTCTTTAAAAATGCAGGCTTTTGCGATTCTCTCCGTTAGGTTGCTCTATACAATTTTAATTGGATGACGGTAACAAATATTAGCATTCACTTATTTAAAGGCAGTTTGTCTCCTTCGTGATTGGCTAATTCTAACTTCAAAGCCTCGCCTTAAAAGAAGGTATTCTTCTGTCCTTTTAGCATCCGACATTAGTTATTTTGGGTTAACATGACCAAAAATGCCAAATCTTTATATCATTGAAACTGACTTAGACTTTTAACACCAAAACAAAATTCACAGCAACTCGCTCATATTCTGGTTAATTTTTTTGCATTAAACGTTGGATGAATATCGTGGCTATGAAAAGAAATTCTGAGAACAAAAGGGACAGACTGCTTTTAAAATTGTTCGTTGGGGAGTACCTTTATAGATATTAGCTTTTAGGAATCAGTCAATAGTAAGCTATTTTATATTCGAGCAACTTTATTACTGCAAAAACATGCTTTAAAGGCAGTGACAATTTTCTATCTAAGATTGCATAGCTATGAAGTTAAATTATGGCCTATAATATCCTTTAATTGATTATTTCCAAATTATTAATGAAAATATAGGAACTCCATCTGCCATTTTCATTGTATCATATTTCTTTCAGAGTGTGTAATGTTGTTTTCCTTGATATTTTAGCGAGAGGTGCAACTCGATATCTCAAAACAGTAGAGCCTCAAGTCAGTACAATGTCACCCACAGGTAACCTGCATATTACTAATTTTGCCTGGCAAACGTTTATGCTGTGCAATCTGTTTAATACTATCGATATTCAGTTATTAGAATTCATTGAAAGAAGGCTCCAAGTTTGTTTGCACTGCTCTGCGATATGAGTGAAGCTTTCATAAGACTGCTATTAGCCATTTGAACTGTATTGAACATCAATAAATCGACAGACATGGAAAAATTGGTTGAGATATGTATACCCCCTCTTCTCTTTTCCCGCCGAATAATTTTCATATTCAAAGCGTTCTTTGCAACCCTGGATGAGAGGACTGCAGTGTTTAATTTGCCTCTTTTAGGCATTTTTAAAGAAAGATATGTTGTATTTGTTTAACTTACAAAATATTAGGGCAGGGAATGTGAAAATTAACCCAGTTTAATTAGGGAGGGAAGGTTTTTAGAATTTAGATCTTGTAGTTTCGGATACTGAAATTCATTAACAAAATTTAGAGAATTTGAATTTTTTTGTCCTGTTAAGAATGAAACAACTGTATGAATAAAATATCCGTGAAGCAATATGATATAGCTACCCACACGTCTCACTATTTTGAGAAAATTTCAAACAGACATCTCTTCTTCTATTTCAGAGCAACCAATGCAGTTTTTAACTCAAAGTAAGCCTTGTGATATATTAGAGAAATTAACTTTTGAGGCTATTATATTTTACTTGTTAATTTTTTCTGTGGCTCTAAAACTTTTAAGACACTGGCTTTTAAACTTTCTGCAACATACACATGTTCTTCATTGTGATGAGAAGTTATTTCAGAACATGCACTTATACAGTACTTTGTGCCTAAGGTTATACTACCTAAAAATTCTTCTAAAAGTTTAAATATTCTGATTGCTTACTTCAATACTTTCGTTGCTGTTAAACCCATTGGTTGAGTTCTGTTATTCTAACTAAATTGTCATAGCTCTTAAAATTTATCAGATTTAAAAGCAATTTGTTGTAATTGTGAAAATGTCTGTTATAGCATCATATGCTAGTCGTAGGCCTAATTTGTAAAGGTTTTTTGCAACCATTCTATATGTTTTTTAAAAGGCTGTAGCTTATCTCATAGGAACTCCATATAAAACTCAAAGCATTTTACAACACTTTGTTCTGTCAGTGTTTCTAATTATTTGCTTCTGATTCCTCTGATAGCCTGTGACAATTACAACAGTAACCTTTGGCCTGGCGATAAGTACTTTGGATCGACCATTTCATTAGGTCACTTTTCCTCCTATCCTCGTGCTATCAATTGCTCTTGGACAATGCCACAGAAGACTGGACTCAAATACGTCATAGAAATTTCATACTTCTACGCAGGTTAGTAATTTATTACCAAATGAACTTGTTGCTTGTTGTTCCAGAAACGTCTCCTACGCTCCCTTGTTTGTTATAAGAAACAGTTAGTTTGATTTATTCAAATAATTCATTTTGTTATCTGTTTTACTAAATATTCCCCTTCTTCACCGTGCTTTTCATTTGCAGCCAGGCACTTAGACGCGTTGAGTATCAGCACCATCTCAAAGTCATCACCCCAACTACTTTCGTCTCTAAAGAAAATAAAAAAGCTCGAAAACCTTTTGGTGATCACAGATGACCCATTCTTGGTCAAAACTATAATTGCCAGCTCACATCGACGTTTTGCTCATGCATTTACATACTCTGTTTACCCAGGTAAAGTATTTAAACTTGCGGATTTTGTATGTGAAATTTTTATGTAACGTATTAGATATTCAAAAGTAACCAGATATTTGCTTGACAATAGTCTCTTCCAAAACTCTAACAGACGGGAGTCCCTTTCGACTTGATGGCCGGTCGTAAAAGAATATGACTCTTTCCAAAAGCCTCCTTCTTTCACCAAAGATTCAATTCGACTCCATTCAATTTCATTAATGTAATACAGGAACAATTTACCAAATTACTGTAAATGCACGAATTAAATGAAGCGTAGTTTTATTTTAATCGAATAGGGTCTTTATTGCCTACACAAATTTTTAAATATTTTGCAATTCCATCTTTTATACTTATTCCTTTATCACACAGCGATAAAATCTCAAAATTCTATTCAAAATTCTTTTATATCTTGCTGAAGATAAGCCCATATGTAATCCACGGAATTGATTTACATAGTCTCAGTGTTACTTTTGAAAAGTCTTTAGTTATCAATTCCATTGTTTTATTATCCATATTTTAAAACAGCTCCTGTTGTCGACCAGATTATTTCTCCTCTCCAGGAGGTTTAAATGCTCCTGAGAAAATTGGCTATTTTTCTAAAAAGATTAAAAAAATTATAAGCATTTTGCCACTAGCTATCTCAATTTTATGAATTGACACATCTCTTTTTTTAAATTTTATATATTTTCCTAGATCTTTTTTAGCGACTTGTTTTTGTAACTTTTGTTATCCACTTCATGTTGCAGGCTGCTACGATGCTTCTCTCAAATACGTATTTTTCAAAGACAAAAACACTGGTAACGTCAACCTTACTTAATGTAGCATGTATGCTTATTTCATATTCTTTTTAAGCTTTAATTTTTCAGTATCTTTCATAATGAAAATGCTTTTATCTCCCATTGAAAACAGATTCTAAAAGTATCATCAATCTTTTTGAAAATATGTGTTGAATCTGTAGCAAGTTAGTTACAGTATAAATATTGTAATGATAACAATTAAACCAAAAATAAACTGTTAAAAGCTAAGGCAATAGGTGAAAGAGAGAGCTTTCATTCTATGACATTTTACTTTATTCTTTAAAGAATCTTGAATTGGGTTACAAAATTTTATTCTTTAACAGTATTTACTTCATGATGTATCTATTTCGCTGCGGTAATGATTTCACTTCTGATATTTAGAAAGATTAGTTCCTTTAACGAACCAAGCTTGCTTAAGGCTTAAGCTTCTCCAAATCTAATCCAAATGAATTGCATCGCTGCAAGTTAGTACTCTCTGCAAATATTTGGGACTCTCCTTGATATCAATCAAAACTTATGCATAAATAAAACTACTATTATTACTAACTTTTTTATCACATGTCAAAAGTGTCCTATTCTTTATTTCAGAATCAAAAGAACAGTGTGTGAGTTCTTGTTACAAACGAGACTTTCAATATGCCTTTTTCATCGTGGACATTAAAAATGAGTGTTACTGTGATAATATGGAGCCAGCGAGGCGTAGTCGTTACATGAAGCATCCCAGACATTGCTGTATCCCACCATTCACAGGATCCTGTAATAGAGGAGACAGTGGAGTGCTCCTGCTCAGCGGTATAGGATTTTATATACAGTAAATGTTTTGGTTTGAGGCTTGAGACCTCAGTTTTACCTATAAATGATTAACTAAGATGGGTCATGCTATTAACTAAGAATTTGCAATAATTTTGGGTATGGGGAGTCCAAGTCATGCACTGTGTGGTGAGTCAAAGTCATGCATGTGTATTTAGATTAAAGAAATCCAGTGGAAAGCAAATCAGCTGAAATACGGACATATTATATTTGCATCCACTAAAAGCACGCTTCTTTACAATCCAGGTACGCCAAAACGACTACATTCTAGATGAATCAAGTGAGAAAATTTACCACCGAGCTGTTTTTAGCAAATTTTGGATGAAGGAGGGAATTAGAATTTTACCGATTCAATTTCATCTCCAGTACATGCAAAGTCACAATTTATTAACGCAAAGGAAGAAATTATTTGCAACATAATGCAACATTTTGACACATTTACGATATTGACCTATGCAAGACGATACCCCAAAGGTGTGCACATGAACATGCAAATGTTGCTTGTTCGGTACAAATCCCACACTAAATGACATACACGAATTCATATTATACTCAATGAGGTGATCGCTCTCCAATCATTGCACTATATTCTTCAGATCACTTTTTTGCATTCAGTATACTCAGACATATTTTTCTATCTTCAAGTTGATGCAACAGCAACAACGACAGAAAACAAGCAATCCCAAGATTCTGGTCGCATAGCAACAATAGCTGCTTCTGTCTCTGTATTTCTTGTGGTTGCTGTCATCGTGGGGGTCGTCATATTCTTAAGGTGGAGACGCAAAAAATCTGCAGGTATTTGAAATTTCATAGTACTTAAATACTTTAATTTTCTTTATTTAATGCTCATTTTTAATCTGATCTCAAATCGGAGAGGTGGAAAACTCTGACAGCTTTATTGGTGGTTAACCATATTGCTTCATTTTTATAGAAAATATTTTAGGGTTTTAAATTTAAGGGGTTCGAGAAAAATCCCTTCAAGGGTGGAAAATACCTGATATTTCTTTGCATCTTTTCACACCATCGAGTGCTTTGAAAATTTAATTTTTCTTTTATCAAGACACAAAACACCCAAAAATGAGAAAAATATGCTTGGTTTGTGAATCAACCTAAAACGTGGGATATACCCTATAGAAGCCTATTTGCTGTACAGTTTCTGACGATTATATTTTATTTGAAGTAGTAAAGGCCCTTTATTTTAGCTTGAACCCGAATCGACATGTCTAACAATTATAAAGGAAGTCATTTTTGGATTCCTTTTATATGACATTCTGTTGCTACCAAGAAAAAGATAGATATTGGCAGAAATCAATACTTTGTATTTGTGTTTTCAAAGTCGTATGCAATTCATTGTTTTTTCAATTCATGTGCAATTCAAATTTTAAAGATTTCATTAGAGAAATTCAAAGAAAATTGTTCTGCCTTTTTTAATTACTTTTCTGTTACCAAAGCTTAGTTTATATCTTTACTAATATTTATTTATTTACAAGATATTAAACCTTTATGTGTCATGTCTATTATAATGTATAGATTGGATTCAAATTATGCTCTGTATCCACATTTGCTTTTTTACGTTAATAATCAAATCTGTTATAGATGCAGCTTCTTCGCATGCTAGCTTAAGGAAGACTAGTACCCATAACTCTGTTGAGATGGAGCCCATCGCTTTTGCGTGTGAGCTTCCAGCAGTAAGGAATTCAGATAACACTCTAATAAAACATGGCGATAGGAAAAACTCTGGTAAGTACACCTTTTCAAAAGGTCTCGTTTCCGAATGTAAATCGTGGAGATGCAATTTATTTAAGCGTTCACATCAGTGGCGGCTGTGAGAAACGAGAACATGAATGTTTAGGCCACGCCCTTTTTACTGCCAGAAAACACTCCTTTACCAACAAGGAACGCAATTTTATCAATAGGAAACGCCACTGACAATGTTTGGGTTACGTAACGGCAGTTTCAAAATCATAGGATTACATCACAAAAACACGTTGCCAAAATATTAACCCTCTCCCAAAGTTTCTTATCGATTCTTATCGATGATAGAAGGGGAACCTGCCCCTCAGCGCCGCTTTTGGTTCATACGTCTTTGCTCATTATGGTTGCAACTTCTTGATATCTTCTAATACCTCTAGTCGATTTAAGAATGCATTACGACTGCCATGTCTGATTTCTCTACTTTTTTCTGTCTTTTCACAAGGCTTTTTTCAAGTGTCTGAATTTAGTTTTACCTTGTTAAGATGCTAGATTTAAAGCATTTGCGATATTTCAAGGCCAGCGCCCTTTCTTCTTTAAAAACCCAATTTGCAAGTCTTCTCTTAGCTGGAAATTTTTAATTGAAATATCAATATTTTTTTCAGCTGATCTATCTGCCAGATCGTAACCCATTGGTGGAATTTAATCCAATCAGAGCTTATTTGCTGTTATCTTTAATTCATTTACCTCACTCTCGAGTCTTTTCAAATAATGGAAATATGCTTCAACAGTTTTTTGACGTTTAAAACATTTTGGATGTTGGCAATATTGTTTTACGAGAATTATTTGTAAGGTGCAGGCTAGGGACATTCTTTTTAATCTAAGTTATGGAACAACTTCGAACCCTCTCATGATTATGCAGAATTAAAGTAGCCATTACCTTTACATTCCAAGACATCTTCAGATGATTAATTAATTGTTTAGAATCAACAAAAAAGAATAACCGAAGGTAGACGCCTCTGATAATGTGACATCAAGTTTTGGCATGAAATTGAATGCAGACCGAGAGGTGGTTAATTCTTGCAAATTGAGGCATTTCTTTAATTTCTAGTAGAAGCCCCTTAAATTAAGAACACAACTGATAACTAATATTTGTTTTTATGGTAAGAAATATTCATATGCTAATGCTGTTTATGCATCTCCAGTATTAACAGATGTACATATCAGTTCATACCTACACATGCTGTATAGAACGTTAAAAAGCGTCCTGGATTGGGGCGTGGCTATTCATAGAGCGACATGCATACACATTGGAAGCAATTCAAAATTTGCATGAGACAAGTAGGCAAATATGGCACCTCCGTGAGCTGGAAGTTGGTACTTAATTTTGTTTCTGAAAAGTTGAGGGCAAGTAACCCTGTGCCCTGGTTCCTGCGTTCATTGTAACAGGATGGTATTTTCAAATAAAGAAATGTTCAGTCTTCAAGTGTTGAAGTTAACCATCTAAAATGGGCTTGGAAAAAGTCCATTACCCATTAAGTAGTAATTTGCCTAGGCAGTAATCAATTTTCCCTTGTCGTGTACCTAACGAAGACTTCCCATTTGTCACTAGAGAAATTGCTTGCTGTTAAACCTGATTTTGAAAACATTTTTTTCCTGTTTTGAAATCTGCTTTTGTTCAAGTCAGTCAAAAGACTTTGATTTACCTTAATGCTTTTTTATTGAATCGCTAATTTAGTGATACAATTCTATGTTTTAAAATGGCCACGTTTGTAGGATCACAAGCCAATTTTAGCAAGAAATGGACTGTTAAACTAAACCCCCTCACTCAATCAATTCAAAGTGACGCTGCCTCAAAAAGGTCTGGGGCAAACATTCAACCAAGCCCGCGAAAACCTGCTTGCTGACGCCATTAACTACTGTTTACATTTTATCGTATCTTCGTTTAATAACATGGACGTGTACTGTAAATAAATTTTTGAATTTAGTGTCATGGAATAAACAGTAAGTTATCTACGTTATGAATTTGTCTAGCTGATTATCTGGTTTTCTGTATTTATGCTGACTTGGATCTTTTTTACCGTTACATATACATTGTATTCTTACAAACGATTTTATAGTAAATAAAGCACAATGCGAACCGACAATGTCCCTTTACTAGGATAAATCGAAATAAACTCCTTCCCCAGGCTATTCAAATCATCTATTGAAATTCTTTTGTCTGAAGCGTGAAGGCTTTGTCTTTTCGGTTGTCAAGACAAACCAATTTTTCTAGCCTCTAAAAGATATCAAATTTCGCTTCCAAACGTACAAGGACATTATTTTATTAACTGCTTAGCCCCTCAGATTTTTTGCAGATTTATTGAGTGCTCTTTTATCATTTAATTAAGTTTCTTATCCGTACGCCTCTCGCCGGTCTTGGATCACACAAAGAAGGTCCTTTGTTTTTGAATTCAATAGCCAATGTATCAACGAAAACTTGGATTTCTGCCCCCAAAATTCACTCAACTTTCATTTGCTTCGCACCAAACGATGCAGAATAATTTTCTCTTTCTAATGATTATTTTGGTAAAATTCTACGACATTTCCTCGCAAAGTTATTCGACATTTTATGCATTTTTGGCAAGGGGGATTCAGGTTTGCATAAAGAAGTTCAGAAAAAACAATAGGCTTGTGATTCCCAGACTTTCTAAAGAATCCGGTTTTTCGCCAATAGCTCCTTCGTTATGAAAGATATAAAATTGTGAGTGGTACCAATAAATTTTCCGGCCCGAGCTCCATCTGTTGGTAGGCTAATTTTTAAATTTGGACCATTGGTTGCTGAGTTATTAACTACTTTTAGTCCCAAAAAGTGCCAAAACAGGTTTTTCGAACCTCCTGGCTCTGATACCGCAGATATACTTTTGGCAACAGCTTCAAAAAATCGGCGAGGTGATTTCGCATCGTTTGACACATTGCTTGCTTTTATTTGAGCCCGAACGGCTGAGATATTTCGATTTTTCTCGAAAAGTCGAAGTGAGAAAAATTTTCAAATTGCATCGCAGCGTCGAAGATCAGTCAGTCGCGAAATTGCGGTGGCGGAGAACTAGTTTCGTCTTTCTCTCGCTTAAAAACACAGTTTTAATAAAAATTAAAATGAAGAAATACTTTTAAAGGTAGTCAGGAATTGACCGATGTTGGTTTTTTTATTATTTTCTTTGTTTTGCCAACATTTTTCTTTGCGTATGAAATGCTTAGGCTCATAAGCTTACAGGAAACATGTCCTAGAACTACTTTATGGCTATCCTTCCTGCTTTGTATCCTTCCGCAGGAATGCAAAGCAAAGAAAAAAAATAATTTTGACAAGAATTCAGCATTAATTTTTCTTTGAATTTAATTACATCATTGTATATTATATTATTGAATGCATGTTGCTGAAAATTTTCCACCGTTGATTTATGGCTCATTTTCTTACAACGACATTAATTAATTAATCGTAATCAAATTGAATCAAACATTTACTGAAAATGCTGATATTCGAAATAACTTTATTGCTTGATGTTTTAGACACAAATCAGCAGACGTGGATTTTAGTATCTTGTTTGCTCAAAAATGTTTTTAAAGGAAACATTGATTTACCTTAATTAAAAGCGAAACAAAGAAAGAAGGCCCACTCTCAAGTACCGATCAAACTTTTTTTTGAAATGATGCTAAATTTAAAAAAACCTTATTTTCTTTATTAGGGGAACATTGACATATGCAAAAATGGTATTCTTAGGGAACCCAAGAAAATAGGCAACACCACATCCCTTTGAATGCAAATCAATTAAAGACAATAATCGAGATGGCAGCTTTGGGCCGCCATACAGCAGAAACTGCATTGTAAATTATTGTGTAAACTGCATGTTATGCCTTTTATGCTACCAATCTTCTGTCAAATTATTTTGAAAACTTTCAACAAAGGCACTTTTAATTCAACTAGATTTTTGGAGGTAATTTAATCCATGCTAAGAAAATGACACAAAGTGAAGACAACATTCTGATTCACAAAAAGCAGTTTCATCGATTAAAAAGATTGTCAAATATAATTTAATGAATAAATACTGTATGTAATTTCTATATCTATATCATATTGGAATTTATACATTTTTAAGCAACTTGTGTCAAAATAACAAATTTTTTACAAATACATGGCATTAAATAGCATCAGACAGGCATACTGTTAGTCTTCTATTTAAAATAAATTAATACAATTCTTGTTCTTAAGCTTTCAAAAGTTAATTAGTTAATTAGACGATAAAGATTTTCGCTTTTTGGTGTTAATTATTGTTGATCAAAAGTGGTATTAGAGATTTTATGTTTTTTACTGAAATATCAGAAAATAAGTGAAAATGTTTTACGTATCGTGATTTTGTGATCTGATTAACCCCTTAGAAAAGTAGTTAATGCTACTGTATCTAATTAAAATCCCTTAATTAAAAATCTCTTGAATGCTTAATCAAGGGACGTTAGTAACTGAGGAGCGTTTATTTCATGCAGTGAAGATAAATTGGGTCAGTATCAGTTCCGCTTATTTATCTGGCAGAGCTTGAAAAAAATCAACTTTCCATATTGCTGTTTATGGTACCAAGAAATGACTCCACAAGTTGGTCAATATCCATAGATTTGAAAAATAAAACAGTCAGATCACGAGGGAGGAAAATTACATTGGAAAAGGAAAAGGGTTGGGCTCACTCCTTCAGGCACCGCAGTGCTTTAGCCCCCTCAATTTTTGCTAAAATTAAAAATTATTCCAATTAACTGCAAAAAAGTAAAAAATAAACCACAGGTCAAGCCTCTTTTTATTTGATTTTAGCCCCCCTCATACCTTTTTAGACCCCCTACTTTTCCAGCGCTCAGCGGTGTCTGTCAATATACCAAAAATAATATAAAATAAATATTTAGATTACAGCGTTTTGAATTCTTCCAAATATTAAAGTAATTAAAATTGGATTTAATAAAAGATAGAGAGTTAATCATCAGGTCAGTTTTCCATAATTTCATTGTCCTTTCTGTTCTTTTGACATGGCAAAAGTTGTCAAGCATTCCCCTGTTAAACAAAGAAAGGAAATAAATTTATATTGCAATAATTACTTTGCTGATTCACATCTTTGTGCACAAAATAAAAGATAATAACGACACTGGGAAAGTCAAAAATAAAGAACTGAATCCAAAATGGACACGAAAAACTTGTTTGATTATTGTTACAACATAAAAGTTGGCGAGTGGTCTTAAATTAAAATGTTCATGTCTAGTGATATTTTTTCTGTTTAGAAGATAAGATTTCTGTCACACTAAAGCGACATTTTGTCGATGTATTTTGGGTGTTTTTTTTAAGCGAATTTCAACAATTGATCTTGTCTTTCCAAAAATTCATTACTCCTAGGCATTTTCATCGAGAACCACGAACAAGTTCTTTCTGAACAAAGGAGGGCAGCCAAACCTCTTGCCCCACTAATCCCCCTTTCACGAACAACAATTTTTCACCCGAAAAATTTGACCACTAAAACTGTATGTGTAATTTGCAGAATTGTAGTGTATGCCTAGCAATCTTTTCAATCTCCTTATAAAAGCTGAAAATGGCTGTATCTTATTTGTTATGAGATGGCTGATTGTTTAGATGTTTATTTGACGATTTGTTGATTGATTGGAGTGTGATCAATCGATTGCAACTGATGATTATGATTATGATGGTGATGATCATGACAGAAGTAGTTCATTATCATCGAAAAAGAAGTTGTTCCAATAATAAAAGTACTGCGCTCCTGGGAGGCTCGTGGTCCGGTTTTTACATAAATTTGTAATCTCGTGATTGTCACCTTGTGGCTTTGTTCACCGCTTTATCTCATGACGTTGCAATCATCGCCTTAATCGCCGCCATATTCGTCGCTTGTCCTTTACACAAGCAACTGTGCAAAGAGCTTCGAGTGAACATTAAAGAATATAAGGACACTTTTCAAGCAAATTAACCTATAATCGAATGTGAATCACAATTATTGAGATCGCTGGTAGAAATTGTGACAATTTTTAAACACACTGTTCTCCTAGTCGCAGAATGGGGAAAAGAAATGTAACACTCGAAGAAGAAGAAAACTTAGGTAATGAAGTCAAAAAGTATCCTTGCTTATATGACAAGACGATTGCAAGTTACAAAGACATTGAAAGTATCTCAAACGCATGGAAAGAGATCGAAAATGTGCTTGGCCTACCCGAAGGTGAGTATAGTTCAATGGAAATTCGCCTCTATCGATCCATGAAAATACTTCACTAAAAGGAATCACAATAGTTAGTAGTAAAGCGATTTAGATATCGAAGATTTTATTTTAATGCATAGTTCAATGGACTTATAAACTTTGGGAGATTCTTTAAACAAGGAACTTGTACACAGATAAACTCACAGACGGAAACAATCCCTCAAGGTAAAGGCGCACTCCCCATCCCATATTAAACGCGGACCAAAAACTATCAAGACCGCAAGTCTTCGAATAAAAAGGGCTTATTCCGCAAAAAAAATATTTCCAGGTAGGGGCTTATTTGAGGGGGAGGCTTATTCGAAGGTGGGGCTTATTTAGCAGCACCAGGGTAAATTTTCTTATATTGTTTCAGGCTGGTCACATAGTTTCTTCGATAAAGTCAGGGATGCCTGCACAAGGTTAGGGCAGGAGGGGCAATTTTGATGCCGAGGGCAAATCGTGGGATTTTTCTATTAACATAATCGAGTATTCCTTGGTGGGAGGGGGCGAGATTGGGGTAACATAATAAAATATTAACTTGAATACATTGCCACCCATACAGCTGGGTTTTTTGCCATCAAAGATTATGAACATAGAGAAAATGTTGACAAAATTATCCATACATAAGAATGGGTATCAAATGACCTTGTCACTATTCATAATATTTGGTTTTATAAAAAATCATGGCTGTTATAAATGGGCTGGTTGGAAAATTTTGATTAAAGTTTTTATAACGATTTATGCTCCTTAGGTTCCTGGAGTACTTCTGAGGGAACACGTCGTTTGTTTATCATCTATTATCTTTGCCGCGCTCTCTCTCTTGTGGTTAGCCTTGTCACATACAAACTTTTTATCCTTTTTGTGCTGCTGTTAACATCTTTCTAATATTTTCTAATAGATATTAACATAACAAAAGTGGTCAAAGAAGTCATTGTTTATCGATAAGATTCTATAGTATATTTTTATATGTCAGGGCACTTCAAGCCCCTCTCTGCCCCTCTTCAAAGAGGGCAGGAGGGGCAGGGACTGCGTACTACTCTAAAAGTGGAGGGGTGTGACCGAAATTTTTTGAGGCAATGCCCTCTAGAACGCCGGAATACGCCCTTTTTAGAAACTGCTTGCTTTGCGGTGCCTGAGGAGGGGCAGCTGCCCCTCCAGCCCCCCTGTGTAGGCGCCCCTGGATAAAGTTATATTGCTCATTTACTTTATGTCAAAAACATCACAATATTTATACAGTAGAATCCTGTTATAACGTACTGGCTTATTACGTACTTTCGGATATAACGTATTGGTGTGCTTGGTCCCAGCAAAAGGGGTGCATGGTTTTAATCAATTTTTACTTACCCCTGTTACAACGTTCTTTGGATATAACGTACTTAATATGCTGGTCCCTTAAAGTACGTTATAACCGGATTATACTGTAAAGGGGGCAGGGTAACCCAGTACCTCCCATGCTCTGGAAAGAACCATCTTGTATAGGAATTTTGCAGTTCTACCACTTTCATCACCTAATCTATATGAGACATAATTTTATTTAAATGCCACTTAATTCTCGCTAAGAATGCTTAATGCTGCTAAGCCTCCCCATTAGGATAGCTACTATTTTATTTTCAAACTTAACTGTCTTGAGATGAGGGTGATTATAAAACCAAAGGCCCTTTCTGGGGCTATGTAAAAACTTTTCAACTTTTTCTGTATTAGGGGAAGGGGCAAAAAGATATGAAAACCTGAAGAAAAGATACAGCAAGAAGAAAATGGCTTTCAAATATGCATGGGCTTTAGGAGAAGGAACACCACTTGTTGAGGCTGCAGAAAAAGACTTGAAACAATATGATTTTCTTAACTGGCTTAATGCTCATTTAAGGTTAAGGAAACCCAATAAGAAAAGATCTGCAATGAGGAAAAAATTCAAAACTGATCATTTGCACCAGAAAGAAGAAAATGACACAAGCGCCAACGAGGTAACTGGCACAGGAGATGACAGCCATGATGGGGTCAATCTTAATGAAGATTGTGACCCTGGAATCATAGTCATTAATCCTAAACAGCCAGGTGTTTATAGCAAACCAATTCCCATAACAGCCACATCTAGCCACAAGGTAATGATTTCAAGTGTACCAATAAAGAAAAAGAGGGTCTCAGATGACAAAATGCCTCAAGCGACAACTTGTGAAAGTGAGCCAGCCAGTGTGCTAACAATGAGCAACACACTGGAAGAAATGCCAATAACCTCAGCATCATCGTCATTTTCCACTGCAACATCATCAGCATCAATAGGACCAAACAAAGATGCAGATGATATCTTTGGGATGATGGTTGCCAGTGAACTTAAAGCAATGAAAAAGAGTGCTAAATTCCGCTTGAAATATGAAATAAATAACCTTATATACAAATTTCATGAATGGGAACAAGAGCAAGAACCACAAGTCATACAACAAGAGTTTTAACATTTAATCATTTAAATGGCCAGTGAAACTTTGCTTACCCCTGCAAAACTTGGCTAACATGGCCCAACTCCCTGAAATATGCAACTTCAGAATAAGTTAAATTAAAGTATTTGAAGAGGTTGTTGTACAAACCTTTTTGGGTTGTGAATTTAGATTCCTATTTGGAAAATATACCATCTTACCCTGAAATATAAGAATTCACAACAGTTCATAACATTGCTAAAAGAAAATTGGATAGCTACTTTGTTTTACCACCCATTTTCAGGGACATTGGAGCACATATAAGAGAAAAGGGCTCTAGAAAAGTGGGAGGGGGCTCTAGATAAGTGGGGGGCTTCTTTCATAGTTTGTCGCCATTATATTTGATGCCATAACTTTGATATCGTACTTTAGCAAAAAAGTGGGGGGCTACAGCCCAGCCAGCCCCCTAGCTCCTGCATGCCTATTATAGTAGTTCTTTCCTATCATCTTTGATGCCACTAACTGAATATAATTGTTTAGGAGAAAAGTGATATAGCCCCTGCAGCCCCCGGTTCTAGCATGTCTGATTTCATCAACAATAAATGCCTCCATAGGAATCAAACTCAAGTGTTGATTTGGTTCAAGTGAAATATTGGTATAATTATATAAATGATCATATTGTTAATTATGGTTGATTTGTTGACATTTCCATCAAAACGACTGCTTTCAGAGCAATTGTCAATATTCATTGACTATTGCTATGCTTCTTTAAGTTATCAGATCTAAAATTATACAGAAATGTAATATTAATAAAATGTTTATGAATATTATTAATATTATAAAACTCTTGACTGTTGTTCAAATGTTCAATTAATCTTGTCATCTCTACAAAAGCCAGACAATCTTTAAAGGCAAAATTATACAGAAAGCATACATAACAAATATTGAAAGCATACATACAAAAATTGTTTCTTCCTGTTTTTTACATGTTACCTGTGGATAGAATCTTGTTGAATAGAAAATGCTTATTTAGCAACAACCCAAGTGTTCCTATGATAATTTTTTTAAGGAATGCATATAGACTGTTATTTCAAATACTTGTGGCAAAAAGATTCAGCTGAAACATTTACAACTTGAATTCAAGGAAGTTACAGAGATTTAAAGTAATATTTTGCCAACAAAAGGGACATATTTGTTTAAAAAGAGATTGAAGTATTTGTGCATGCTTACTGGATATTTGAGGTCTAAAATCACTAGGGAGGCTGAAGGGGAAAAACTCCAATTACTCTATTTAGTAAGATATTGTCACCAGAAAAAGCAGTTATTTCTCAATTCGAGAACATACCATATTTAAGTCAGATATAACCAACATCACTGTTCACTATACATTGTATGATGTAGATTATCATTATTATTTTTAGATAAAAAATGAGTTCTCTTGTATCTATGACAATCTCAAAAACCCATAATCAATTTGTTTCATGTGTTTTAGAGAATATTGAAGAAAACTTGTCTTACTGAAAATATCATACAATTATATCCAGGTCCCGTCGCTTGTGTCTTAGATGCATATATAGCTACTTTGAAGGGAAGAGTAGAAACAAAGGCCAGCAGAAAAGGTTTTTGTTGTGCACACTAATAATAATGTTGTTTGAATGAAATTTGAGGATTGAAATTTCCATGACATTGAAATTCACAAAAAATTCATTTCATTAAAGAAGGTTATGTTTTGCAACAACACCTTTGCTAGAAAGTTGAGAAAGTAAAAGTTTTAAACTAAGGTTGGGTTGAAGAGACTAAAAATAGGAAGCAACAAGTTTCAAAATTCTGATGGACAGAATATTTTGTTGATTTTTCAGTCTCACATTAAAGCACATTACCCCATTATTGACAGGGCACTTGGAGTGCTATCTGAATTCAAATAGCAAACCATTTCGTGCAGGATATGAGTGTCACTGGGGATCTTACAAAAAATAAAACCTAGATTTATCAGATATTGACAATTTATAGACCGCGCTTACATCAAAATGAATTTCTACAAAATATTTACATAGCTGTTTATTTAGAAACAACTTTTTTAGGTTTTCTTTTTTGCATTGTTTGTTTGAGAGAAATCGTCCTGCTTATCTACTTCAAAGGCAGTGAGGTACAAAACATCAGCAAGAGCTTGTTCAACTTCCATTTCGAACACTCTGTCAGACATCTGGAATGAAATGAGAAATCAGAAAAAATTGATGATTGTTACAATAAACAGCATTCATTGAAAGATAGATAATCATAACATTAATTGGAAAAGGTAAATATTGAACTGATAGTAGAATTTTAACTCCAGCACCACCAACAGAGGAGGGGTAGCCAGGGAAGGTACCCCAAGCCCTGTGCCCATTCTGGGGTCTGTAATTCAGTAAATGGTGTTAATTGTCATATTGTGGAATCTATATTGGGTGTACACGCATTAGTTGCTCTGGAGCCTGGGTTATCGCCATGTCCAATAAAACTGTAATAGAAAACTGTAACCCCCCCCCCCCCCCCAATGTCAAAGTCCTAAATCCCCCATGATGATAATCATGATCATAATTGCTTATTTTGGTTAATGCCTAACTTTTTAAGCACAATAAAAAACACCATACCGCTTTATATTCACAGTCTTCTGGTGGGTACTGAAAATCTGGTCCAAAATTACAGGACACCTATAGCAACAAAAATATGACTTGACATCAGATAAGGGGTAATAATTTTTTTATATTTTTGATGTTTAGGAAATAGAAACTAATTTTCATGAGAATTGGCATTGAGGAATAATTTTAAGTAACACAAAAATATAGTACAATATTTATTCATAGGGAATACCTCTTTTATTCAATTATATTGAACCAAATAAATGGCAGTGTTTTGAAAAAATTTGTTAAAAAAATTACTGTTATTTCCAAACATAGATACATGATACATGGTCTCCCTTTTTTCATTTTCTTCAGCATCATCATTTATCTGAAATAGCTCACATGGAAAACTTTCCCATGAAGAGGTTTCCTTCAAAACACTTTCCTTAACTGCTATAAAAATCACCTTATTATGTTAAGAAGCAAGTTCTTAATGAGTCCTGTACAATTAACAAAACACACTAAACAAGGGGGTATGTGGTGTTCACAAGAACAAAAGCTACACATTTACAGCTACATTACTACCAGTGCTGCATTAAACACAGGGCACACTGGGTTCAATGCCCATGACCCCTAGTGTTAGAGGGGCCCCCCTTTCTCTGGCATGGTCAGATTTTTTGGAAAGGATTGATGACACATGATCACAATCTAATTTTTTGACAAATACAGAATAATCTTTGATGAAAATCTTGTAGGCTATTTGCAAGAATGAACTGTCTCTCGTTTTATCTCAGGCCCATCTACAAACGTGGCTATTATCAAATAAAGGTACAGACAAACACAAAAGGGGTTCCATTTTATTCTGTGCCCAGGGCTCCAAAATTCTAAATGTGGCCCAGAGTGCTACACAAGCCTTTTTGCATCTTGAGAACAGCGAAACCAAGAAACATCACAAAAAATCCATATCAAGTTATCGGTTGATTTGCCATGCATCTGAAAAGGGAGAACAGCGTACAGTAGTATTTCCATTCCTTACTTAAAAGATACCTCTGTTACCTTTACAGAGGCAAGATGCTTAAAGAGTTATTTGGTATGAAAAAAAATTAGTGAACAAACCATGGCATTTTTATACAGTGATATTGCTGGATAGTAGGCACCACAAAATACATTCTGGAAAGCTTTTCCCTGCAAAGATAAAAGAGTATATCAGATCAATAAAATCAACAATTTTAAAAATTTTAAGCAATCAAATTGGCTTTTTGAAGCAAGTTTCAAAATATAGCCCCATGCCATGGCAGTAAAGTGAAATATTTAACATTCTGTGAACTTTCATGAATTACTACAGTATACTCTTGTTAAGTGGGACACTCAAATGACCAAAAAAACAGTAAGCTGGCGTCCTACTTTTCCGAATGCTTGAAAAGGGTAAGAAAGTCCAGGGGACTGGGAAAATCTGTACTACATAGCGGGCCTACAACTTATCCGGGCTCCCACTTTACGAGAGTATACTGTATCTTGCGCTTTCAAGAACATACCTGAGATTTGCCATTCTTGAAGAATTCAATCTAAAAAATACACAAGATCTTATGAGGATACAATGAAGGGAAATTAAAATCTCTTGTGCATCCGGCATGCTTTGCAACTAAAATTCCAAAACTGCCCTTGTATCATACTGCATGAAAACACAAAGCACAGTCAATTTCTAAAGACAACTGTCACCTAAGTGTGGCACAAAAGGCTTTTGAAATTTAGATTGCAAACATAATATCACTACAAAATGCATATCATTACAATAAAACAATAATTGCAACTTGAAGTCAGGCTTGGCTGCTTGAGGCAAGTGATAACTTGCACTTATGTTGACATTCCCCGAAGAGGCCAATAAGGGCCATTTCATATACTGAGGAAGAAAAACTCAGAAAAAACAAAGAGAGACTGTTCTCTGTATGCTCACCAAGAGGGAGGACAAGGGGTGATTGCCCCTGCATCTGCTATTAATTAAATGTCTCAATTTAGAATACGAATTTTTTGGCATTAGGCATATTAGATTAGGCATATGGGACCCCAGGGTAAGAAGGAGCCAAGCATTGTTTACTGAATAATGTAGGGGCTTGAGGAGCGTCTTATATATGGTAACATTGATTTCCCATTATTTCCTTTTAAGCATAGTGTTATTTGATAGAGAAATATTATGAGCTTAAAGCAGCTAGTCCCTTAATCTGAATAACTGCACATTTCTAGGAAATGTTCTTGTCATTTGCATGGGGAAAGGGGGGGGTACACAAAAGCTAGAAATCTAGCAATGCAACAGAATAAAACAAAGACAACCACTAAGCCAAAAGTCAATTGAGCAGGGAAATAATTTAGCCAAAGGTGTCACTTTTGCTAAAATTCCAAAGGTAACATGGAAATTGAGAAGCTGGGAAAAATGGCATTAATGAAGCAAATGTTTGAAGGTGATTAAATCAAGCCTGATGTTTCCGGGGGTGTCCAAAGGGAAAGTATACTAATAGAGGCAAGACTGATGTTTCCGGAATTATGCGGGGACTGATGGGCAACAGTTGTTGCTATCTGAAAAAGCCTGAAAGGACCTTTTCTAGTGATACATAAAAATAAAAATAAATTCACAGACTTTGAAACTTTTGAGAATTCATGGTCATTAATTGTACATATGTTGATTTTGAACAAATTTTCTGCCATAGAGTACACCTCAACTTCTTTAGTATCTTGAGTTTATTATTTTTTCTTTAAAAGTACTTAGAAAAAGGGATATATCAAACAAGGTAAGATCTGGTAACATCTATTTTCTTTAAATTCTAACATCAATTTAAGTGTGCATTTTATACAAGAATGTGTCTTACACATGTTGAAATACAGTATCTTGCAAATGAAAAACAAATGTTCCACCAATCAGAAAATGCCATAAAGCAACTAAATCACTGCCCTTTAAACAAGATCAACAATGCTTATTAAATCTATTTAACTTGAAACAACTAACCTCACTTCCCTCTAATTCTTTTAAACTCTATAAAAAGAAAGAAACATGAATTGCAAGAGAAACATTTATAAATATCAATGGAAAAGAAAATCCATCATTAATTTGATTTTAATCAAAAACCTTTCTACTGGTTGTTAAACAACATTTTGTAACATAATCTAAATTTATGCCCCTGTCTTATTGAATGTGAGTCTACTGGCAGACTTGCTCCAATCAGTACCATCATCATTCTGACATAAGCTGACAACAAAACTAACAACTTGCTCAACAGACTGTTTAACTCTTTATTGCTACTTCTCATTTAGCGATGATTATTGGTTTCAAATCTACTTATGAACATAGATAAATAGAGCACAGGAAAAAAACTGTGCCACTGCCTAAAAGCACAAGAAAAGTCAACAAATTAAATTGGAGTACCACATTCAGAGGATGCTTTGTTTTACTGCTTTTTGGGAAAAGCTTTCAATGTTTTGGCCAGGGGGGAAGGACGATGAACGCTTTTCGAAATTTCGTACAAAAATCTAAATAAAATATTCACAAGATTGGAATTGATACATCTAAAGGGTTTTTTTATTCAATATATGTAGCTGTAATATGAATATGGTTTATCAATCGAGATTTGTGAGTAATTCTTGGTATATGTTTTTAAATATTGATTCTGTTAATTGGCACAGCGAAGTTCATTGAAGTTGGATATCTTTCCTTCTTCTTATGAAATTGGCGGGATTAACTTCGCTGCCCAGGCTAAGGAGCTAAACTGGAAATCATATCAAATGTTTAACCTTTTCTCAAATCTCGAGAAAAGACTAAAAAATATGCTTATCAAAATTTTACTTATCAAAAAGGAATTTTAATAACACGGTAATTCAATGAAATAACATTTCTTTAATATTAAACGCTTGTTATCTGCACATGCTTTTGAGATAGCAAAGATCAAGAAATAAGATAAAAAACAGTCAAACCTTTTCGGCTTTTTCAACCATATCTTTATCTTCATAATACAAATGGTTTTTAAATTTAATCAGTGCCTGCCAAAAAAACCAGGTTCTTTAGAAGCAAACTTTATCAAGAAATAAAAATTAATCAAAATTTTCATCTTCTTGAATAGTTCACGAGAAATATTGATATACTAACAAAATTTATTGTGGCAAACAGGAAATTAACGAGTGATGATTTCTTATGAAGAGATTTAAAAAAGTAAACAAACAAGCCTTCACTTTCGCTTCATAAAATACCAAATGTGCAGAAAATAAATGAAATTTGGCAAGACATTTTCCGCAAAATGAAAACCTTCTTCGGAAGTAAACTATCTTGCTAACCGTTTATTCAGCATTTTCGATATTTACTTTCCCAGTTCAGGCAATAGGTTTTTCTTAATTAAAAGTTTTGCTGTTTCTTACATGCATGTTTATCAAAAAGCATTATAAACAAAAAGAATAAAACGAATAAGCCACATATATATTGATTTAGTAGCTTAATTATCATTTACCTACCTATATTTATTCATCAAGTTTGGAATTGGTTTGGAATAAAGTTTTTAGCATAAAAATGTTCTAGTCAACATTCGAGAAAATTTTGTTATATCGCTATTCATTCAGTGAAAATAAACAATCAAGCACAAAAGGGGATTTCTTGTTTTTAAAAGAACGTATTAAAATTGCATTTCAAAATTTGCAAAAAATTGATCACAATAGATATTAAACATCGAATACAATAACAGAACGAATCATGAGATTTCCCCTAGATGTAACAAATTTATTTTCAGAAGAAAGAAGTAGAAATTTGCTGTTTATGTACTTTGAAATAGAACTGCATGACAAGCAATCTAGATGCAAATTCTGAGAATTTCATTAGCAAGAAAACTGGTTAAAAGAGGAGAGGGAATGGGGAATGGGTTAAGAGTGAAATTTTTCTTACCCTGTCTTTAAACGTGTCTGGTAGAAGAGAAGCTGCAACAAAATCATTTTGGTTAGCAGGACATTCCGGAAAACAGTTATGTTACAAATATCATTCAATTAAAGTATTTTTATGATGAGATTTGACGTCAACGGTAATGAAACATCTAAATAAAAAAACACGTTAAAGGAAAGAAAGTTAAACAACTCTTTAAGAAACATCCTCTTCGCTCTTAGGCTCTTCTCTGTTTATTCCTTAAATGATTGTGTAAACCCAAAAGAATATCAGGAGATTGGTACTGAGAACTTCTTTCTATAATTCGTGCTACCAGTTTATACTTATTCATACCTCTATGGCATTAGTTCATTTGTGTAAGTTTCATCCAAGCGCCTTACAATAATAGAGAAACTGATTTTGTCAGCCCTTTCATTCTAAGGTACAGAACTTCTGTAACCAACTTACAGATGCCTTCTTTCTGAGGTAAACGGATAAGACAGCCTATGACGTCACCTTGTTCGTATCCAGACCTTTAAATCAATGAAAATAACTTGGAAGAAACAATGCATTTTTATGAGATTTGAATTGCGGAAATCTGTATACAATTTATAAGTTAATTTTTACTCTTGATGCAGGAATGATAAACACAAAGGTACATGATTCTTGAATTGCCGCAATTAAAGGAAAGACAGAAATCTTGACGGAATGTTAAAAACCGTATGTAATGTTTTTATGATGATCTCTTGAAAGATAAGCTGGTATAAAAAGAGCGAGGAGAACTCGTTGAAGTTGTATATATAAAGCAACACAATTTTATACGGTCAAAAGTTCAAGCTGAAAATTGGGTATATTTTAGTAGAAATAATGAAAACATACGAATAATGTTTTCCACGACTCTGATGAAACTTAGTACCCTTTTTACTTCTCCACGAGTATCCAAATTTGTCATAGCCAAGAGGTGCCTGTAAATTGCCTGTAAAATACAGTGAAGCCTTCTCATATCTCCGAACAACAAACAAATAATTTTGACACAATTTATCTCATCTGGGCTTAGGCATTGCAAAAATATATCTTGCAAAAATATGTCAATGCAACTTTGTATTGAATTCTATTAAAAAAGCCTTGTAGAGGTAGCTACCAGCCTACGAAAAACCCCTCAAATAACGGACACACCAAAACAGCAAACAACTCAAAACAGCGGACATTTCCCAGCTACAAGAGAATCAAAATTCATTTCCAGTGGAAACGAATGGACTTCGAAAAATAAAGAATAGAAAAGAATAAAGAACTGGCAACATTTCCTCCAATAAGCAACAACCGGAATAAGCTTGATGTTTGTGGCAGAATGATGTTTGTGATAGTCTTAAATACACTTCAACATACCGTAAATCTGAGACCATCCGACTCGCAAAGCTGATTCTGGGGGCATCTCCTCAACTGAACACTGCAAAAGCAAAACATTAATGAAAGTCTTGTCAAAGTTGAAAATTAAAGGGGTGAAAGAGCATAAATACGAATAAGATATCAAAAGTAAATCTTGATTTCAATCATAGATGAAACCTTATTAAAAAGGTAGTGAAAACAAAAAAAGCTTTTATTGTTGTCTGGAATTTTACACAAAATATAAACAGCCAAAAACGTTCACATTTAGATAGCTTTAAAATTGTGACCTTGGTAAATCTCTAATATGACAACTTTGGGGTATTTATTTAAAGGTAGAGCAGCGACCTGTCTCTTCTACTCTACGTCTACGTCTTTAATTGTTATAAAAATTGATGTTAACAAACATAAAACTTTATGCTGATCATTCAACTATATACTGCCATTTTTATGAGACCCAGTAAATCTGTCTACATTTTCTTGAATAGGCCCATTTAAAATATCTATATGCAATTTCCTATTTTTGTAGAAAATAAGTGGAGTAGACTGGCTCATGTTTGAATCAACGGCACAAACTCTGAAGATGCTCCAACGAAATGTATTCAAGCTTGCAGCAAGATTGGTCATGAATCCAGAATGACAACACAATTTAAACGAAACAGAACTATAAAAAAGCAGAACATAACGAAAAGAAAACAAACGTTATTACCTCGAAATACCAAATCCCTTTTGTCACACCTGACAAGAAAGAAAATCTAATGAAAATTACTGTTTACCAGTTTGTCATATGGTGCTCAGTTCCTTGTGCGCTTTAAATTATTCTTTTCAAATGATGGGTATTATGTGAACGTTTAGGTACGAGGAGACTATGATTGAAGGAAAACCGGTGTCAAGAATATTTTCTTAAAGGCTTTCAAAAAGCCCCCCCCCCCTTGTTGCGTTGAAAATTCTAAAGAAGGCAGGACAGGAGCGCCCATTCATGATGTTGACATTCGTCTGCGAAACCTAGCTTCTCTACAACGAACAGGAGTTAATGATTCTGAGACAAAAATGCGCTTCAGAGGAGGGCATTAGGTGCGGTCAACCCACTTTGGACTCAAGCATTAGCTTCTCTATATAGCGATAACATAGAATAGTCACTTTTTGCAAAAACATGTTCACTTTTTACAAAGAAAGCCTTCTTAGATGATAACTCTGGCGACAGAACTAGTTTTCAACAAAAAGTAACGGAAAAATTATAGCTGAACTTTGAACAAATTGTGTAGAGTTAGGGGAGTCAGAGAGTGTAATCCCAGTTGGCAATGTAAAAAGTAGCCTTTCTTGACTATTTGCAACCGTTTTATTAAAACTTTATGTAGGGGCCTTTGTTAATGCTTTCATAGTACTTCGCACCTGCTTCAAAGGATTTGAAGACAAGAGTGACGATTCAAAAATATAAAATAACGAATTTACGGTCCTGGTTAAATAAACATTCACAGAGAGGTAAGATCTTTACCAAAGAAAAAGGAAAAGTAGCTAAAAAGGTTGATAAAACAATTGATAATAAAACATAGATGTTAAGACCCACCATGTGTAGCTCTCACCATCGCATAACCCTTCTCTCCTGTGACATACTGACGATCGTCTGAGATTTTGAGCTGAGGAGCTGGAAAATAATAATCTCTAATTACCAACATGAATAAGCTGTGATTGGAATTTGCATTACCGTTTCTACTGAACAACACTGGGAAGAAAAGAATGCAAGTATCGAAGCTTGCAAGATATTCAATTCCCTAACAGTGATTAATGCCTACCAGCCTCCCTAGAATTTTTGCAATATTTCATTTTCAGTCCTGAGTAAGATAGGTTTTGGATCATTGTGTCTAATGTTTCCTGCAAATTGTAGCCATCAGAACGTTTGCTGCAAATTGCTGTGTGTTGCAAAATTCTCTGACATGAAATTTCAATGTAATGACCACAACTTAGAGAATATTTGTCCTCTTTGTTGCATCACTTCTGTGGTCTCTATACGGTCATTGCAACTTTCATGTGAATGTTAACAAAAATCAATGAGAACTGAATATATATCAAATGAGTAATTAATTTTGAGTTCTAGAAAGCTTGTGACACACCTCGGTCATGCAAGGCAAGATAAACACTTTGAGGCAAGGCCACTCGGTAGATTTCACCAGGAATCGGCTTGCCAGCCCATGAATCCAACTCAAAGTTTGAGCGCTCAGCATGAGGATCCGTTTCTGCCAATATGTATCGATAACCATCCTGCACAAGAAAGAAAAATTTCCAATCATTTCCAAACCATCACAGCTTTGAAAAATTCAAACAATTTAAGATACACGCTAGGAAAAATATGTACTCAGTTGTAGATTGAAACAGGCCAATCAGGGATGCAAGTATGTGCCAATTGAGGTTGCCAATTAAGTACTGCTCATGAAAATTATTACCAAAGGAGTTCAAAGGTGAAAATGAGTCTAAATTCTTCAGTCTAAATAAGAGCCATTTTTGACCAAATGTCATATTATATTTTGGTTTATGCGATCTTTATTTACTGCAAATAGTAATGAATGGTCTCTTTATAATCTTAATTTCTTCAACATTCTAAGTTCAAATTGATCTAGAAGATCAGCGAGCTTGTTGTATGATTCACATCCATTTATAAATCCTCTCAGAGACAAGCAGACCAAATCAATCAAAAACAAGTGAAAAATATAAATTATTTTCTTTTTTACTTTTTTTAAACTTATAGCATCTAAGCTGCAAATCTTAGTTCTTGAAGACTAAAATTTATCCAATGCAGTAAAATCTGCAAATTGAATGTAAAATGAGCTTTTTAAATGTCTGACTGGTTTTAAGATGAAGGTTAACAACAAGAAGTGTGAGAAGGGAGAACCGCAGGATAGGCTGTCGGCCGGATTCTGTGAATCTTGAAATGAGATTTTAGAATGAAAGATATACAGGAACAAAGCAATACAACGATGAGAATCCAATGTCATGAAATAAATTTTCAAATAAATTAAATTTAAAGAGTATACTCTTTAAATTTAATTTATTTTGAAAATTTATTTCGTGACATTGGATTCTCGTCATTGTATTTCTTTGTTCCTGTATATCTAACAACAAGAAGCCTGCTTTTTGTTGAAGAAAAATACTAGTTTATCACAATCCGTTTTGGTAATTTTAAGAAAAGGGTTCTTATAATGTCGTTAAGCATCATAAAGGAGTGTTTTTAATGAAAAGTAAGTTATATCTTTGATAAGAATACCCTATTGAACAAACCTTATGTATACATACCTTATTAAAAGGATGCTCAAGAGGGTATCCATGTGATGGCAGCTTTTGTGTTGTGTTCACATCACTAAAAGTAAATATGAATTACTCAGCTCAGTGCATATCACAAAGTGAAATGAAAAATTCCTTCAAGGCTTTCTGTGATTGGAGTTGCGTTTTATTAGTAGACAGACAATAGCAATTTACAATAACAATGAAAAAAAATTACAAGATCTTTAGATATATTATACAAAACCCTGGCTTTTGCACCAAGATATCATGTTGAACTTCATTTAAATCAGCCTTAAATTTAAAACAAACAAAACAATTATTTACTTCTTTCCTCTCTTTGAAGCCCCCTGGTTTTTCTCTTGATCCGCAGCCCTCCTCTTCCCTCTGGTGCTTCTTTTAGAAACAGCCCTACCACTTGATGACAACAGAGAATCATCATTTCCACCACCCTGGACTTCTGACTGTAAACCAAACTCAGAATCTTGACAAGTGCTTTCACTGAGTCGACTGTCTTGATCTAAAAATTCCTCCATACTGTGGAAAAACATTACAATGCAGAAGGTTGAAATTCAACAAATGTATGTCAAACAAATAAATGATATACATGACATCCAGAATGTCTAAACAAAAAGTAGTAGATTATAAGGATATTATACCAGTTTGTCTCACAATTGAGAAAAATAATCCAATGTTCAATAAAAGATAGCATTGACTCCCATGTTTTTGTTATTAGAAACAAAAAAGTAATATTCCCACCCGTTCAAATCAGGTGCCTCCATACACTAAACAATACTTTAATAAGCAATGTGTTGATTGCTACTTTAGTTGATCATTAGAACTTCTGTTGTTTTACGTTTGCAATTGTAAAAGGCGAAACCTACGAGGGAAATACCAAATTAAAGCCCTGAAATGTCTCTCTTGGGTTTCTGGCTGATGAGTTGCTTTTTCATCAATTTCTGTCATTTTCAAGCTAATTAATTGCTCAAAACATGCAAGGGGCCACACAACCCCCTCATCTGAGTTTGAGGCTGTAACCAAGCGGTAGTGACTACACCTTATCTCCTTTTCTCGTTTTTGCATTTTGGATTTTACACTTTTATTCACTCATTGGTTTTTTAGTTTTCAACTTCTTTGCCTATAAAAACAGGCAACATAAAAAAGTTGGTTCAGATATTGAATAAAATTCAAAATAAAAAAGCGGAATAATTCCGAGCATTGCGGATGAATAAGTAAGGCAGACAGAGGGATAAAATATATTTTATTTTTTTGCAACCAACAAAATATCTTACCTTTTGTTGTCAATGATTTTGATCTTTGCTTTCACTTTTATTTCTTCCCGCTCTTGATTTAGGCCCCGTCATAAATAATTACCTTAAGACAGTACCACCTTAAGTTTCCAAAGAGAAATCTCTTTATGATACAGAGGCTCAGAGTTAGAAGACGAAAAATGGCTGGAAATTTTTGGCTATCCTCGCACTACCATCAATGGATTTTAACACCCGAAGAAGTCTTGATGGAAAGACTTCAAGATTTAAAAAGTCTGACTAATGAAGAATACCAAAAACTGATGATATTTTTTTGTCGCTTCATCCAGTCTCTGGGAGAACATTTGAAGCTTAGGCAGCAAGTAATAGCAACAGGCACTATTTATTTCAGACGATTTTATGCGAGGAATTCACTCAGATGCATCGATCCATTATTGCTAGCACCAACGTGCTTATTTCTAGCAGCCAAAGTTGAGGAGTGTGGAGTCATCACAAACGCAAAGTTGATAAACGCATGCACTTCTGTCCTCAAAAGCAAATTCGCGTTTGCTTTTCCAACAATACAAGATTACCCATACAGAATAAATCAGGTAAGCTGGAGAAATGCTTTTTCATTTGAAGGACATTTGCTTCTTTTGGAATTTTTTTCTTGCTTGCATCTGTCTTTGTCCAACATCCAAACTGGAATCAAGCTGACTTCCATCTCAAATAGATATATGCCAGGCTGGAAAACTTGCATATGCCCACAGCGACACTAGACTTCTTGTGCTTGCACCTCACACCTCTAGTGACCCAAAATATCAAGAAATTGATATAACATACTATAGTAATGTATATATGGGTATTGTTGCTCGCAGCTCAAATGCTTCCGCTTGCAAGTCGCAGCTGATAATGTGCTGTTGGTTGCATTGACGCATCCGCAAAATCATTTATGTTTTCCAACCTAGGATAATTGGCAAACAAAGTCCATGTAAACAACAGAAATAAAAGGAAAAAGAAAACCAGTGGTTTAGTAAATGGCAGATGGCAGATGTCAATGGCAGATGGCATGCACAGATTTCATGTACTAGTCAGACATTTTCCATATATTTTGATATTTCAATACATTTTATTCCACTGCTACTTATTTTATTTTTTCTTTGCAGATCTGGGAATGTGAATTTTATATCTTGGAAGCAATGGACTGTTCATTAATAGTTTTCCATCCATATAGATCACTAACAAAATACTTAGCAGATATGGGCCAGGAGGATGCATTACTGCCTATTGCATGGCGAATTGTTAATGACAGCTTACGTACTGATGTATGTCTAATGCACCCACCATACTTGATATCACTCACTGCCATATACATGGCCTGTGTTATTCAGCAGAAAGATTGTAAACAATGGTTTGCAGAGCTTAATGTAGAGATGCAAAAGATTATGGAGATTACCCAACAAGTGCTGGCACTTTATGAACTCTGGAAGGCGTATGATGAAAAAAAAGAAATAAGTAGTATTTTAGTTAAAATGCCTAAGCCAAGATCAGGGCCAAACTCACGGCCATCATCAGCAACTCCAAGGAACCACACTCCATCACCAGTGCCTGGACTTCACTAATATTTATTTACAAAGAGCTAGTGAATTATTTAACTTTATATTAATTAAAAGTTTTTATACCTTTTTTGTATAAAATGTACATTAAAAGACCTGTTTCTTCTGCAAATATAGTTTATTATTCTGTTAAAAATTTTGCTTCAATATGAGCAAACCTTGAAAAAAAGATATAAATATCTTTTATTATTCAAATTCTTCTGTACTGTCTCATATGAGCTTCATTTCTAACAAGCATGCAAGCAAGCTTCATTTTAACTTTGGCAAGCTTCATTGTAACTTTGACTTAAAACAAATTTTCCAAATTCAGCTTCAATAAGTTAAACTAAACTTGTCTTTGTGGGTGCCATTGCAAAATCTGGGTATTTAACAAGAGTGCATGTATTTGAAGGATTTGTTATAGAAAGGATGACAATTTATTTTTATTTGTTTATGAAAGAAAAGAATCAATAAATACTTTCAATGAAAACTGGTTTTAACTACCATTGTGCAGGAAGCACTCCTAGCACAAATGCAAATTTATCATAAGCTAATTCTTTGGTCCGAGAAGCTTATGCTTATCGAGCAGTGTCCTGGTCCTTCCTCTCGATGTGACCACACCTCATCATTCCTACGCCTGGAATTACAGAGAGCTGGCGACGACCTTGGGTCTGTAGTCAGCACCTCAAACAACTGAGCCATCCTCGCCCTTGGACAAGACTCATTGCTGGTTAAAAGAAAAGAAGCCATTATATTTTGTTTAGCTGTAGATTCAATTGATTTTATTTATACTGATAATAAAAAAGTATTGATATTCTTGTTTTCAAAATTGCTTTAGAAAATCTATTCAAACTAAAGTCAAGGGAGTGATCACCTTGTAATAGAGCTGTGTCTACATGGTAGGGTTTGTCAAATCAGTTTTTACTTAGGATTACTTCGAATTGAAGGCAATCATCTACTCAATCCGATTTTTTTAGTCAGAAGGGATTTGGAAAATGTGTTGCAAAATAATCAGCAGGAGCAGATTTAATACATTTTCCATTTCTTCAGTTGAGCAAGGCTGCAAAATAGTACCAGAAGAACAATAGAAAAGGCATCTTTCAGCTGATGATATCCTGTAAATAATTTGTCCAAGAAGTTAGTGACAACAAGCATCAAACTACTTTACTGACTATGTTACTGAAGATCCGGATGGAAGGTTCATTTTTCATATTTAACATTTAAGATACAGAAAAACTGCTTTCGAAAAGCTAAAATGTTTCTACAGTTACACTAAATTTTTACCAATAAAAAACTGATTGTGCTAAACATTTTTTTCCAATAAATGTCCATTACAACAAGGAGATGTTTTTGTGGAGGGGGGGGGGTATTTAAAAGTAGTCGCGTTTTAACAATATCAAGAGGATGTTCATGTTAGGGGGCATTTTCCCGCAGTAATCTGGTATCTACATTAATGTTCATTGAACGCTATAAAATACAAGATTCTTGTTTGATACTACAAATTATTAACTTTTATAGATTAAGCTGCTTTCGGAATTTTATATTTCATATTTCGTGCTAAAATGTTTATAATTTGTTGGGAAAGATTTTTATTGGAAGTTGAGTCAAAAACATTGCTTATGATTGTGTCGTGCTTCCTTTTTAGCAGCGCTCTTTGTGGAGTGACTTCCAATGTTAAGCAGCTTTCTCTTTCCAAGGATGATCATGGTAGTTCATTCGGATGTGGGTTTACCAAAATTTCCTCTACTTCTTCAAGGACTTTATATGGTCCATCTGTATGAGGTTCTGTACATATCTTCTTCATGGGCTTTATGTTTTCGGAGTTATGAGGAGGTGGAAATTCTGAAAAGAATCAAATCATAATTTTAGAAAAATACATTTGTTAAGTGAGCCTAAAACCCTGTCCTTGCTAAAGTTGATTTTATGTTGATGACGTTATCTTATAAAATCGTTTCTGCAACAATAAAATTTCAATCTTTCGACCCCTTACTGATGTCCTTTTGATGTCTTCTAGGTTTTGTTTTTAGTGAACAGACAGGTAATTTAGTAAGGGGTTGAGTCGTCGAGTCAAATATAGTATTTGACAGTTTACTCAAATATCAACAAATTAAGTGGGACAAAAACATTTAGAATTTTCACGCGTTTTTTGAACTGAATGTTGTAAAACTTCAGTATCCTTTCTTTCTAGACTAACCTCCTTCACTTAATTAAATTTTATTCGATCACAAGCAAGCTATATCACTCTTTACACGTCAAAAGTATTTCAAAAAGTGTGTATTATATGGACGACATTTCTTCCCAAACCTTCGCGCATAAGCATGATCAAAAGATTTTCTAAACTTTATTTGAATTTCTAATTTATAATTACGATATGTCAATGTACTGTCCAAAAAACAGACCATGTCATTAAGATTTGAAGAATGCTAGCTATAAGTCACTCAAGATTGCGAAGGGAACGAGACTTAATCGTTGATTGATCACTGATAAATTAAATTTAATCAGCTACCAATATATACGTATAACTAACTCACGTGGAGCATAGCGCACGATGGAAACACAGCTAAAACGTATCACTTATTTATAATCTTTAATCACTAGGCCAATCATTGATCAATTTGAAGTCAGCAGCTAACAATATATACGTATGAATCACAAACGTAGAGCATGGCACACGATGGAAACACAGCTAGAACGTATCACTTATTTATAATCTTTAATCACTGGGCCAATCATTGATCAATTTGAGGTCATCAGCTATCAATATATACGTATGAATCACAAACGTAGAGCATGGCACACGATGGAAACACAGCTAGAACGTATCACTTATTTATAATCTTTAATCACTGGGCCAATCATTGATCAATTTGAGGTCATCAGCTATCAATATATACGTATGAATCACAAACGTAGAGCATGGCACACGATGGAAACACAGCTAGAACGTATCACTTATTTATAATCTTTAATCACTGGGCCAATCATTGATCAATTTGAGGTCATCAGCTATCAATATATACGTATGAATCACAAACGTAGAGCATGGCACACGATGGAAACACAGCTAGAACGTATCACTTATTTATAATCTTTAATCACTGGGCCAATCATTGATCAATTTGAGGTCATCAGCTATCAATATATACGTATGAATCACAAACGTAGAGCATGGCACACGATGGAAACACAGCTAGAACGTATCACTTATTTATAATCTTTAATCACTGGGCCAATCATTGATCAATTTGAGGTCATCAGCTATCAATATATACGTATGAATCACAAACGTAGAGCATGGCACACGATGGAAACACAGATAAAACTTGTCACTTATCTATAATCCTTAACCACTAACCAATCATTGATCAAAATAAGGTCACGAGGTTTTAATATACAGGTATAATCATACTCACGAAGGGCATCGCACACGATTGAAACACATCTTTTGCAGCCAGTTTTGCCAACTTCTTCGAAATATTTTTCTTCCTCTAACTTTTCTCCCAATTTGCAAACCTTCCTCTGTTGTTTGCACCAAGGAGAACATTCCAAAAATTGGTTCTTTTCAACTTGTACACATGTGCAATTTAGCTTACAGTTATCAACTGGTTTCCATTCTCCCACTTTGATTTGTTCTCCATTGAATGCACTGCAGGTACCTATAAAGTTCAAATCAAATCATTTCCATACCACATTGTTATGTTATTAAAAAGGGCCTAATCATGTGCTTACAAATTATACGTTCTCTTCCTTGGCCTCGTGCTCTACAACTAGCTAAATACTGTTACGTCATAATATGTTAATGTATTTAAAACATTGCACACATGCTGAATAAAAGAGTAAAATCTTACTTAACCAAATCAAAAGAATTAATAAGTGCGCCACAATCTATCTCGAAATATAACCGTTTCTGGGAGACTCTTACATAGCGAATAGAATACAAGGGGAGGTGGAAGAGGAGTCTTGATATTTTGGAAGAGGAGATTTTATCCTGTAGTGGTTGTCACTGATAGGGTGAAAAAGACTGAATTTACATATTCGTGTCATATTTGCAAAATTTTTACCCAAAACACACTCCGCGGCGCCCACTAAGATTCGGCTTGGAATAAATCGACACTATCTTATCTCGTAACTGTAATAGTGACACACTATGCAGCTTTCCTGGACTAAAAAATGATCTTTTGGGATAGTTACCAGTTTTAAGTTATTTTCAAAATTTTTTTAATTTACTCTCATTGTTAATGTATAAGTTCCAAAAAAATTTTGGAAAGTGTCTTTGCATGTCAAAAAAAAGTTTAAACAATAGTTGATGATCTCGAAATTTGACAATCTTCCAGTGGTTGTTCTCGCTAAAGCCCTCAATGTCAGAATACACACTATCACACCTTAACTGAACCTAAGATTCACGCATCTCAAAAATGGTACCAAACATGGACACTAATACTTTAAAGATAGACTGTACTTAACTTTAAAGATATACTGGCTTTGGCTTTGGTAATATAAAATCGAATATAATGTAAGCAAACTTACCATTGCCATTCTGGGGTACACCGATATTAACTGGGGGCAAATGAAAGCTGTAGACTGAAGATATTGCAAAAATGACCAAAGCTACTTGATTGGCCATCGTGTCTCTGAAAACGACAAAGAGGTAATAAGCACAGTGCTTTCTGTTATACCACTTTTTATCATCAAATCAGCTCTATTTCAAAAAACGTAGGGCATGACGAACGGGGCTACTGGCTGTAAAATCTACATCAACTATGCAATTTAAGACATCAACTTTGCAATTTAGTTTAAGTCTTGATAAAACTATTATTATGACCTCTCAATGCATACTGATTTTGAGTGCGCTAAAAGGAAGTTTATCGAAGATTTCAAATTGCATTTTATTGTATCAGAGAATAATTGATAAGAGGATGGTAGAGAAAACTTTCACTCTTTTCAAGAAACGAACTCCAAACAAGAAATTTGAACAAAGCAAATACTTAATTCATACAGTCTGGGATAGCTTTAAGAAGGAATCTTGACTTGAAGATTTCTAGAAAAGTTCGACAAGCAATATAAAAAGAAAAATTCTAACGCTGTCCATTGGTAAGAGAGAGCGCATAAACTAACTTTTCACTGATTAGAAAATGAACTAACACGTTAGAATCGAACAATTTTTAACTGGAAAACGAATTCATCAAATGAACAGTAGCAAAAGTAAGGTATCGTAATAAAATTGCATGGTGCAAACTTACTGTAGGTTGAGCTTCTAAGTTTTAAGGCAATTGAACTATCCTCTTAGATATATTCGCTGAGTGTCGGGCTCTCGTGTTCACAGGAATGAAAATTGCACAAGAAAGCAGTAAATAAAACTCAAAACTCAAGCAAAATTTCTACACCAAAGATGCTTTGTCTTCAAGTTCATAAATATATTGGATATAAACATCATTGGCAATTACTTATATGTCTTTTCCTTCATCAACTACCTGCTGTATGATAAATTCAAAGGTGATCCACCAAACACTTCAGTGTACTCGGCATACTTTAAGGGGGTAACGATAGCTACCTGGCAACCAGAAGCTTAAGACACAAGTAACTGTGAAGGAGTTAGCTTATGTAGCTGCATTTCTACAAAGACCATCAAAGAGTAATGAACTGCCTACGGAAGGACTTCTTTGATGGTCGTCGTTGAAAAGAAAGACCAATATAGCAATAGTTAACATATTTTTAAGCAACAGTTGCAAACACAGCCGAAAACAGTAGCGAAATATATTTTATACACCTGGAAAAAGCAAGGAAATATCAACAAAAGTTAAAGGAAAAGCATTTGAAATTGAGACAATTACATGATGGACCAGTTAATTACACATTGTAGGGCTTGTAAGAGGACTGGGCATTGCACCAACATGGGCTCTTTTCAAGAAATGGGGTTAAAAATACTACTTTTTTCTGTAGCCATGTCTAATATGGGTGCCCCACATGACGAGTCACATTAGATCGACAGTGTTGAGAATATGTACTCCTCCGCATTCGCAGCTTTTGTGAGAATATATCTGCTTCTAGAATACAAACGCTCCAACATTGAAAGGGAAAAGGGTAGACGTTGGAAAATACAAGCATACTACGTGCTTTTGGTTTTGTCACAATACATCTGTCTAAAACTTTGTCTACAGTGGCCCTAATGATACAATTTACAAATCTAGATGGGGTTTATGCTGTTACTTTGACCAACCCAAGACATCATTGGCGAAACATCGCATAAGTTGTTTTGGACTAGGACCAGTGATACTAGAAATTTCTCTAAGCAACAAAACATGCTTTAACTTTTTAAGTGTAGGTGTTAAAACAATATATTTACAGCTGAATATAAAAATGCAAGGATCTGGCACGTGTTTTCACATAAATCTAAGCCACATTAACGAACGGATTATAAGAAAAACACCGTGGCCCTTTTCTGTAAAATCTAACACATAAACAGATGTATAGACCTGACGTGTCTTGCAAATCGCAGCGTTTGGCTATTAATAGGCAACCTGTTAAAAACACAATTTTCAGTGTCACATATTCATGAATGACTTCATTCATAGGTCGCGTCAGTTCTTCTATGTGACGTAATCCTGCATGAAATGTAGAAAAACTAAGGTGCAATAATGAATCATATTACTGGTTGGTTGCAATTAGAGAGGATTCTGAAAAGTGTAACTAAAGCCTTCGATAGAAATTGGTGCATGTAACGGCGAGAGAAATGAATTCAATAGGAATTTACACCTTTAAGCGGAAATTAGCTGACTTTCTTTCCATTCTATCAAATAGGGTTCTCAAATGTGACATGATTAAAAAAATATTTTTAGAATTTTCGAATTTTGACCACAAAACACAAAAGAACTCCATAAAATATTCCAATTTATGCAAAATCAGTTAAATTTTTCAAAAATCGGGTGAGCTATGGCCGATAGAAGATCTGAAGTTTGCTAACGGATTACTGTTATTTTGGCTGAGTTCATGAAGTTATGAACTGAGACCAAATTACAGAGGTTTGATGGGACCAGAGCTTGTGCTCATCTGAACATATCTCAGCCAATTCGTAATACCTTTAACTGATTTTGCAGATTTAGAGGTATTTCAGGATGCTCTTACAGGTTATGGGAAACAATTTCTAAAATTCTAAAAATAGATTTTTGTGACGTCATCACTTGACAACCCTATTTGCTCCGCTCTTAAGAGCTAACAAGAGTAACGCTTTCTGCAAGGAGCAAAGCACAGATACACAACCTGCAACCAACGTAAAGACAACATAAAAAACATTGAATTAAATAAATCCGTATTGGGGTATTGATGATCACATAAGCCTTGCTTGGGGGTTGCCCATAAATTGGGCATTTGTCTTCTCAATAATAAACTAGAAATAATGCAAAAAGAAAAACAACAGCTTCTATAAAACAAAATTAAAGAAAGTCTATTTTGAGATGCGAAAAGAGTGATAGCGAAATTGAATTCCGTGATAGCTTCCAAATTTGTGGTATAAATATACTTTTCAAAACTACATTGATTGACAGTGGTATATGGAAAATCAACTGGAGAATCTGACAACTTATCGAGCACGCCGAAAATTTTGTAAGCTTGAATAAATAGTCCGAAAAGAAGGTTGTACCTCGTGTGTTGACACTACACACGAGGAATCAAATGAGTCACCTTCTATCTGAAAAAAACCGATCTATCTACACACATTGCAAAAATACAATGTTTCACAGCAATCTTGTGAATTTGTCACATTGCGTGTAAAATCAGAGTACAATAACTGATTTTTCTCACTTAGAAGTGGCAATGAAATAGAGTGGTGGAGTGCAGTCATGATAAAATACTATTTTTAGAATTTTAGGATTCTGACTCCATAACCTGATTAAAAATCACAAAATACCTCTTGACATGCAGAATCAGTTGTATCTGTTCAAAATTGACTTTTCAATGAGATTTACTGTCGTTTTGGCCTGGTTCCCAGACCTTGGTGATTTTATAGGGTAAGAGCCAGTGGCGGACACTTGGGGGGCGAGGGGGGGCGACCGCCCCCCCAATACTTTAGAGAACAATGGTATTTTGTTCTAAAACAATGGGGAATGTGACGTCATCTTATTAAAACAATAGGCTTGCCCCCCCCAATATTTGACCAAGTGTCCGCCACTGGTAAGAGCCCTTACTTACATGGCAATATCTTATTCGCAACCGATTCAACTGATCTGTACATCTAGTGGTATTTCGTGGTATTCGTTCAGGGTATGGGGTCAGAGTTCTAGAATCTAAAAATAGATTCTGATGACGTCACTCCGCCAATCTATACAGTGAAATGACCAGGCGAAGAAAGGAACAAATAAATACGGCTTAATAACTGACCGATAAAGGCATATAATGAAATTTATCTATACAAATTTGGCAAATACTATTAATACATAACACACAAGGCTATAACATGGCCAATACTTTTTCTTGCTTGATGATTCTCCATCAAAAGAAGAGGCAGAACATTAAGTTGCAATGACACAAGGATACAAGGAGCCTTCTGCATCACCAGAATAAATTAACATATACTGTCAATCCATTGAGGGCTACCGTCTGCCTTAGCACCATGTCACCAATAACTTCCTATCAATGAGATGCGACAAAGATAGGTTAGACGTACGAATATGTCCCAACCGGACTGTGACGTCATATTTGAAAACGTGATTGCTGTTTAGAACTGCATAATGTACCCTTGATCCTCACCATCTGTAAACAAAGGGAATAATAAATGAATATCAGGAAACAAGAAAATATAATACAAAGTTTCCAATAACATTTTCAACATTGATTTGTCATGAACAATCACTTGATGTATAAGTAGAAAAGTAGAACATTATTTCCTGTTGGGGAGAAGACGTTTCTTCACAAAAGCTGTATTTGCAGGTACGGTTGGAAAGGTTTTAATAAATATGTAATATCAACACAACGTAATCAAACCATATACCTTGAATTGAAGGCAATATAAAAGGGAAAAGATTCGTAAAGAGAAATATGTGGCCCAATGTAGAGAATTAGCAAACTACAAGCAGAAAACAGGTAAAACAGGCAATACCGCAAATCCTCGAATTAACCACCTGGGGGCTTATTTATTTTTGATATTTTGGATGGGGCCTTATTTGAGGGGGGCTTATACGAGGGGGGGCTTATAAAATTATTGTAGACATTAAGAAGACATTATTAAAAGACCTCGTTTATTTTAGTAGAAATTTCTTTATGAGCATTTAATTAATTACTACCAAAAGTATGAATTTGTAGTGGTAATTCAATAAAACGCCATAGGCAACCTCAGATGGCAAAAGTCATCAAATTGAGGGGTCCGAGAATTTACGGTTGCAGTGGGGGCTAATTCGAGGGGGGCTTATTGACAATTTGCATTTCTAGGTTGGGGCCTTATTCGAGAGGGGGGGCTTTTTCGAGGGGGGGCAATTTGAGGATTTACGGTATGACGATACAAAGCGTCCTGTTCCCTCGTTCGGTGAAATTCCATTTTAACTTTCAATTATCTAGTATCTTTTTGGGCAACGTCAAACGTCTTCTTTCACTTAAATGTTCCATTCGCACAGAATTTTTCTATACAGTTTCAGAGAAAAATCATACAAAGATATATTTTAAAGTATTTTGCCCATCCTTTGTTTAGAATGAGACATTAGTGCATTAATCAAGAAAAGTGGGTATGCTAAATCTACTAATCTTGAATCGATGTCTTTAATCTACTTACAAGTTACTTGCGAGTGGGTCAAGTAATTCAATTCAGATGCCGTGTCTTTTAGGATTTTTGTGACATCTGCAGCCATCCGCTCGGTATTTAATGGTACCACTGTCTCTCGTTTAGATCTGCTTAGTACCATTGACACATCTGTAGTGGAAGAATCTCTACATTCAGCAATCATCACAACGCACAGACAAAAAACTCTAGATATTTGCTTAAAAGTACAGTTAGCGGGCCCAAGAAGAATCTTACAGACTTTAGAGCATTCCAAACTCCGACTCTTTTTGTCAATGAGAACGAATTCCTAACACAAATAAAAGCGCTGAGCAAGGCAGGCAAATGTTTGTCTAATAACCTAAAAACCAACATCGGATGTTATCAAGTGATGAATACTGAGCATTAGCAAGTGATAGCCCCAAATGTCGACATCATAATATCAAATGTAGCAAAATCACGGATAAACAAAAGCAGGTGGGATATAACTACCTTAGACAATCGCACTTTTAGGCCTTCAACATACCTTCATAGACCGAATGATAAGCAAAGTGAAGATAAACAAGGAAAAGCAAATGTGTCGCGGCAACTATTAAGCCAACTATCAGTCCATTCTTTTTTCTCCAGGTTCTGCTGACATATATCCCAACCTGAAAAGAAGCCTGGTAATTAATTACGTCATATCTCATCTATCTCCCAAGTAGTAATAAATGATGCAGTAGCCAAATACAGGCACGATTAAGTGGAATTGACCATACGTTTTCATCATAAAAGTGATTCAAAGTAAATGGATAACACCCAATGTAAATTGGAAACAAGATTTTATTCAATTTTAATTTGTGTCATTAGCATCTTGTATGCACCATTTTACATACATAATCTTATAAATCTTCCTAATTGATCTTTCCTAAGCTAGAATCTTCGCTGAAAGAGCAAAAGATTCAACGTTCCAAAGAAAGGTTTAAAGCACATTGCCTTAACTGCTATCTAAAATTAGAATTACACTTTTAGAATTATGCTCGCCAAGCCCTCAACTTCATAAAAAGGCAGGAGACACTAATTAGTTGAATTTCTACTAAATTTGAAAAAATCCAAAACTCACGGATGTCAGTAAGCTCTATTAACTGATCATAGTCTGCGCGACTGGCTAAATTCTGTCATTAAAACGACTTAACTCGACCGTGTAACTCACAGCAGTGTTAGGCCGGTCGACATAGTGACTTAATTGCACCCAGCAGAACCTTATAAACTCTGCATGTAAAATCAATTCTCTTAATTCTGTACAGACAATTATTTTGCTTTCTTATGATTTATTCCCTTGGTGACCAGTAAAAACCGTTAAAATATTATGATGACATCAGGTCGAATCTAATGATGTCAAGGTATTTATGTTCACAATAAGCACGTTAGGAAGGGAGACAAACACACGACGTAGACTACCAGAACTATTCACGAAAGGAACCTTTCTTTTTATTTTGAAGATTCATTAACACATTTATTTCAAAATAACTTTATTGAGCAGAAAGATTTATCGACCAGAGCTTGTGCCAAATTATTTTTTTTTCAAATTCAACTGGATAAGTAAAACAAAAGAGAGCCTACCATTTTTAACGATGATAATCCTCCAAATATCAGCATTGATGAGTAAAAAACCAGATGTGAGTGATGATGTGAAATGGTGGTCAGTAGAATTGTTAAGCAATGTCCAAACAACGCATAACCCTGTTGAAAAGCAAAAGTTGTTTTGTCAGATACTGCGTCAAATAAAGAAGTTCCTTAAGCATGAGAGGCAAAAGTATAAACTTTTCTTACAAAGAAAGACCTTGAGTTCATAGTGTTTTGCCACTAGCCTCTAACTAGCTCTTGTCCTCTCTCATTATTAATCTAGTGTAGGCATCCACATGGGCTCCGACACAGGCTGGAAAGTGGGGGGGGGGCAAGGAAAAATTTAACATCCATAACAAAAGTTTTTGAAAAAATCTCTACTGTTTTGCAAAAAATAAGGGGGCCATGCCCCCCTTCGTTGGAGGCCCTGATGCATCCTGAGCTTTTTTCCAGTCCAGTATAATAGATTTAACATTCAAATATCCCGGATATCAAGGACGACTGGCAACACACAACAACCATAAATGGCTAGCATCGCACCGATAGCAAAAGGACCACAGCGTTATGTTAAAAATAAGCTATAGATTTTTATGAGGCAAATCTATTACCCTTGCCATAACATTCTCCTATTATCAAACTGTCTCTGTATACTGCTTCTATATACTGTCTTTTTAGTGACCGATTACAAAATGATCTTCAAAAATATGTTCTCTTCCTGTTAATGCTAGTAGATAATTGAGAATATGTTGCTGATAAAATATCGACTTAACAAAACGGAAATTTGAATCTAGAAAGAACGTTGCAACTTACGGTGAGAGTTAAAATCTGTAGTAGAGTGATATGTGTGTTACATAGGTAAGCGAGAAAGTAATAAAACGAGGAAGCGCCAAACCAATATCCAAAACAAACACCAAGTGCTGTGCCCATTAGAGTTCCCTCTTGCTGTAAATGGAAGAAAAATGAATAAAGACTTCGGTTTTTCTTAAGATGGGGATAAAATAAAAAGTCCTGTGGCAATCCTAGACGAAAAATACGGGGATGCGGGGGGGGGGGTGTCATGTCATCTAATAAAACGTTAACAGAACAGAGACTTCTTGCCAAAAATTAATCCCCTTTTTTCAAGAAACAATTATTTGCGCCCCTGATGGTAACAAGGGAACAAATTGTATCCAACAAAACCTTGATTGTATAAATCAACTACAGAGCCCAAAAGTATTAGGGAGAATTCTAGAAGCATAGCGTCCAATCATTTGTTATTGGGGTTTGACACTGCTTCTGATGCTACGGTATCCAATACGCAAGGTGATTATATCTACGAAGGCAGAAGGCAATTTATAGATACTGAAGTGGCTTAAGCAATCTGTCAAAGAACCATTGGCCAATCAATGGACGTGAGTGGTATCATGCTTATGGATTGGTCAATTTTGATGGCCTAAGCTCCTTATACATCTGCAAACAGCCTCTTGAATGTAAAGGAAATACTTCCTGCCTTATCATGAATGGAATCAATTACTCGAAACAGGGTAAAAATGAAGAAGTGCAAAAGATAGCATAATATCCACCAAACCCTATTAATCTGCGCTAGCACGCGAGCGGCACCCGCAGGCAAAAACCATGCCCCGAATGCCTGCGCGCACTTCTCAACCAATCATTTATCTCAACCAAGTGACAGAATATCAATTTATCAATAGTGCCGGCTTGGTTCTCAATAGCTGATACCAAGTTGAATGCTTCTCTTTCTCTCTCTATCTTGTCTCTTCATCTCTCTATCTATATTTAGCTACTTAATCTGTTTTATCTCTCTATTTATATTCACTGATCACTCACAATTATTCGATTGCTTCCTTCTCTGAGCATTATTTCATGATTTACTCGTGTACACTCCTTTGAGGGTCATATAGCTCCACGAAAATCTCGTACCCCTCTGACAAATCTCCTTTTTTCGTGAAAAATCCCGAAAAATCTTCGAAAAGCCTAGTTTTCTGAAAACTCTCGTAGGCTCTTTGGAAAGACTGACATACCTATCGCTTTCCATTAAGCCCATGTGTTCGAGTATTCTAATCAAGTAACAATTGCGTTAATGCAAGTAGGAGAAATAGGGTAAAATGCTGAGTATGCATGTCTGACGAATTGGGACAAAATTACAAGGTACATCATGGTCATAGCGAATGCTAACTGTTTAGGAGGGCTAAGTATGGATCTGTCCCGAATATTATTGCTTCATCGAGATAGAATTGCCCGAATTGAGCCTGAATTGTGATAAATTCTGCCGGATAAGGGGGCTGCAACCTCCCAGCACCTATGTCTCCTATGCCTTTGGGGTACACCTCCAAAGAATTCAGTCAGAATAAAATTCCAACTATTTGCAACAACAATAACAAGCCTTTATTTCTTCAACATTTTGTGTAAAAGTTTTTCCACATCAAAATGATAAAATCTTTAAAAAAATGATAAAATCAAAGCTATTGAATAAGTATCGAAATTCCTTATAAGTAACTATGTTCACTGGGAAACTTTGAACGGAACTAATTTGGGATAGAATCTTTCACGGCAAAAATTTAAACTTCAGAATGAGATAACCAAGTATTATGTGGAAATTCTTAAAATTAAATCCCGTGATCGCTCACTTTGACTAGAGGACTGCTTGTTGACAACCCAAAACACCCGTAGATAAAAACTAGTTAACTTCATTTCCATTCTTCTGAAGCACATTATTTCATATAGCTCTCAGCAATTGTTATGCCATGCAGTGGTAGTTATGATCATATTGACATGGTATTTGCATTTGACAAACATAACCTGGTGTTGCAGTACTCAACTCAACAAGAAACTTAGTAGAAAGGGAGATTTGCAAAATATATCAGTACCTGAACATGAGTTGCAGCCTATTTTACTTGCAGGTACATTTCTACTCGGCTTCCCGCTTGCAGATACAAAATATTTTCAATGAGCCCTGGCATCAATGCTTGTTGTATAGAAACTTGTCAAATGTTGGGTTCAAATCAAATATATTCTGCCAAAAACAAGAAAAAGATATCTTACCACAGTATGCTCGGAAACTTTCATTGAAAACAACAACAAAGCAACCAGGGTGAAAAGGACCATAACAGGACCATATAATTCACCAGGAACAGTCTAGAATGAAAGCAAAAATAATCTTCAGTGAATCAATTCTTGAAATAATGTTACAGGAAACTTAGATATGGTGTTTCATGGTAAATACAAGAGCTTTATTTGTCCTGTTATGAAAAACATAACCTTGACAAGAGTTAGACATTATTCTGTCATCAATATTTTTGTAATTCGCTATCCAATGAAAAATCAAATTGAATGTTACAAAGATACAATGGAGATGTGGTGGAGATTTCCTATGACTACAGATATTGGGTGATGCTGGCATGTTGAGGTAAAAAAACCTCTATTTGTTGCAAATGGTTCCATATTTGCTCAATTAATCAAAAAGGGGGAAGGAAGTACTGCCTAGAAATTACATAATGCACCAATGTTACCAAAACAAGATTTGAGGAATTCATATTCATTATGAAATTCACCACAATTATAAATTAACTTGTCAGTATTATATTAAATAAATTTTTTTTGAAAGCTTTTGCATTACAAAAAACCTTACTGCTAGTCAACCTCTATCGAGTATGAAGTATTGCCTTAATTAAAGAACAGAAAAGAGAAATGATAATAAATGAAGTTAAGAAGATAAATTAAACTCATTTTAAGTGATTGTTCAGGCAACAAAAGAAAACCTTACTGTACTTTATTTTTGGTCTCAATTTTAACTACACAAAATAGAGGGCACCCAGCTCTTTAGAAGTTATTAAGCCTGGTATTTAAAAGCAAACCAAAATTCTCAAAGTGCAGAATAATTTGGCGATACAAAAGTTTTGAAGAAAATTCAAAATACTTGCTTGGAAGCTTACAAAAGGATTTTTAACTTATTGCTCAAAGTTTTTTAATCCATACAAAATACTTTTACTTTGACAAAATATTTTGATCAAATGAAAAAAGTCTTAAATTCCTACCTGTGGCTTTCCTGGTCTCCTGGGAACCAGAGACTGGACCAATCTAAATGAATGATTGAAAATAAACGACTTTGAAAATCTGAAGGCAAACATTCTTTGCAGAACATAAGACCTTTGAAAATCACTGAACAAGTAACATTGGAATGCTGAACCATCTCCTTTACAAGTATCTCTCTTGGTGGAAGAAAAAAGCAAAGCATTTGCAAAATCTCATGGGGTACCAAGGAGGTTAACAATATAACATAGACACATATGTCAGATAGATAGTTAAACACATTAAACCAGATATCACTTTATAAAATACTAGAGAGAAAAACATTCTTCTTGATGATCAAGGCATCACCAACACTCTAGCTGCTATGAATTAGCAACAAATATATAAATGAATAATTATAAGAATTATTGTTTTGGTCATAATCCCAGACTTACCTTTTCAGGACATCTCTAGGCTCTACATCAAAGTAAGGCCTTAAGAAATCAATATTTGCATAAAGATCATAGAACTTCCTTGCTGACTGCTTCCCAGCTGCCCACATCTAGAAAAAGGAATATAATATAATTAAATAGGAAAATCTGGTTATAGGAAGACATGCCTTATTTCTATCATATTGATGGTTTTGCAGGATACCATAATCTGCCTATTTTATAAGGTAGAAACAATACCTGGCTAGCTGGATACTGGATAGCTAGGGGTAAGCAGGCTCACAGTTTAAAACATAGAGGTAGATGGAAGCGAAAACCAAGAAACAGATGCAGAATGATTGAGTTTTTTTGAAGTAACAAAAGACTAATGAAAAATTTCCAACTTTTTAAGGATTTTAAAATGCACTTAAACCTTAAGGAAAAAAGACACATTGCTTAAGACCTCTTTGAAACCACTACAAAGCATAGAAAATCATTCATATGGCTTTGAACCAGCAGTGTGGAACTAAATGTCATGGGGACATTTCGTAGATGATTGTCAAAAAGGATTCCAGGAGGGTTAAGAAAAAAAATCTACCTTGCCACCAAGCTCTTCCATCATTTTTTCTTTCATGCTTGCAACAAAATCATTTTCACTTGTAGCTGATCTGCCATTATCTGAATCAATTTGTGAATCATGCTCATACATCTGATCATTAGAACCCAAATCAACTATAGTCACAGGTTCCTGGAAAAATCCAATCAATCACAACTGAAAATACAACATATAGCTGTTCAGAGCAGTAGAGCAGTCTAATGAATTAGGATTGAAAAATTATGCAAGTCATTCTTGAGGGCAGATTAGAGAGACTTCTTTTCTTGCAAAAAAATTTGAATAAAAAATCCTGCCAATAAGTGTTACTCAGATACAGCACCAGAAATAAAGAATGTATGATTGAACAAGCTTAGGCCTTCTGGTGGGTTATGTTTGGAATGTGGTTTGAACCAGTAATTTCTTCATTAAAATTCTACATTTAAATCAAAGGTCTGGTAGAATTCTGCTTCTTTTTTGGGTAATTTATCTTTCAATCATCAGGTAAATACTTTCTATTCAAAATTGCTGCCTTTTACAACCAAATCCCCATCCATTGAATGATTCCTATTATTTGGTTGTCATTCAACTGGTCCTTTCTATGAGTTTCATTTTTCATCAAAGCTGCATTGGAAATGCTTAAAAGCTTTCATCAAGTTACATCAAGTTTTGATTGGTCATACAGATCCAATCTCACTCTAGCTCTTGAGCAAACAAGCAATTTATGAATGTTTTCTTTTATTATCTATGATACTAAATTCAATTCAATTATCTATAATTCTCAATTCATTTTACAATGCATTCAAATTAACTTGTTTATTCTACTATCACAATGCCTAGTTTACTGTATTTTTTAATATTAAGTGTGTTAATGCACTAAATTTCCAAGCAAACAGTCACACAAAAATTGTCCTCTATTCAGGAATAAACCTTGGAATGTGCTACTCTTCCTTAAAAATTGTTGAGATTTCGATATTTTTCCCCTGAAGGGACGTATAAAAACACATTTACAACATCAATCTAATAAATATGTTTGGTGTTTAGAGAGTAACAAAAGAGTTGGATTTTTGAAGTGGAATATCTTAGGAGTTAATATTTTGAATGTAATCAGACAATGTCGCACTACTGATATCATACTGGGCCTAAAAGTAGAAGGTAATTTATATAACTTGGTTGGAGAGAGGCGGCATAAGAACAACAAAAAATCGAACCTGGGGCAACATATCCCAGCTTGACGAAGTACTTGAAGAACTGCTATCTGTTCTCTCGATTATTTCTCCAAGCTCATTACCATTTCTACCATTTCTGCCGTTCCGTCCTTGGTTACCATGTATTGGTGTGCTGGAGGCAGCGGCCGCCATTGCAAAATTTTTGTAATATATAGTAATGAAAAAATTGTCCACGAAAACAGTTGTGCATACGAGGTTTGGAGTGCCAGCTCCTCCACAGGATCCAGGAATTTTATAAGTTTTTTTACTTATCCCTCATTAATATTTTGCTTTAAACAAAAATTGGATTGTTTATTGACTTGCTCTGGACCAGATGTTAGTTGTTATTTCCCACCCAATAAATTGCTAAATGAATTCATTCTATTGACTATGATTAGTTAAAGGAAGGCGACATGCTTCACTAACTCGACAAGTCAATCGGAGAGACGCTGTAAATTTGTTTAAAGTTTAACAGCCTCGACAAAATTCTTGACATGAGCGACCAACCATAAATATAGATGATAAACCATGATTGTTTGAAAATTTATAGCGCATATGTTATCTATTGATCCTTTTAGGCGTTAACTTTTTTAAATGCCTAGTTCTTCATTGTAGAAGAGGACTTATCCAACAGCTATGTTATAAGCTCCATTTCTTTGCTAAAAAGAGGCAGAGGGCGAATAAATTGATAAACTTTACCGAAGAAAGCAGTTTTTAACTTTAGAGAGCAGTCATTATACAACACTTAATTTTTTGTTTTGTTGCTACCAGCATCTGACGGTAGTTTTAAGACTTGGAAGCTATGCCAAGCACCGCGCAGCCATTGGGCTAGCAGGGGCTATAGCCCCTCCAAAGCTTACTCTAACTATGGTCTAACGCAACATTGAAAAGTATACCCCTAAGAAGTAGTAATTTTTCTTTACTGGGAACCCTTTTTGTTCATTTTCTAGGTGTTTTTCTTGATGTTTTGTTATTCCCAAGCTAATTTTATCAATTTTTATAGCTATTGATATCTTCTCTGAACCAGATTGTTTATAAAATCCCAGTAGAAATAAGCCAGTATTTCTAAAAGGGGCGTTTTCCGGCGTTCTAGAGGGCGTGGCCTCCAAAGATTTCGGTCACGCCCTTTTCAGCCCTCCCACATCTAGACTGGTGCGCGGTCCCTGAGCTAAGCTTATTCGATTTCTTTCGATTTTCTTGCAACTTAACTTCCACAAGGTGCTTTCTTTTTTAGGTTAGACCTCCATTTAGAATTATACTTGCTTTAAACATAGGCTTCCCTTCAAAAGCAAAACCTGTAGCTTTAGGCTTAAGCTTCATCCAGTAACCCAGCATCCTACAATCTCTTTCTGTTGATATATTACTTTTTGCTAGATTTTTTGTTTCTTCCTTGAAATTTTTATTCATCAATGCAGATTTCTCAAAACCACGTTTCTGCACTGATGAAGCTACATCGAAATAGAGGTTTTAGTATTTTGTCTTAAAAAGAGGTCATATGGCCTAGGCACTACATAAGTAAATCAAAAATAGAATTGAAAGTGTTGTTTCTGTCGTTGGTGAAGGATCTGCAAAAATGAGTGCGTCCGAGGAGATGAATTCGAGTGAGGAAATAAGAATGCCACAGAAAAAGTACTATAGACAGAGAGCTCATTCAAATCCACTGTCTGTCCACGCACTTGAATTGTAGGTAGAGGTAGAATACATACGATTATCGTGCCCAGAACCTTTTCACTTCTGAAATGTTAGCAAATAACACGCTTGAGAACGATTGAAAAGTCTACTTGCACCTTCTAAGCCTAGGTGAAAATGATCTTACTATGATGCAGGCTCTATAACGTTGAAAGGAAAGATAATTTTTGTATTGTTAGACAACAAAGTTTTTATTATCAGTGCAGGCGGCGGCAGTCACTGTGAATTTCAGATTTTTTCGATTTTAAAATCTCTCTTACTGCATAGCTAGAAGTCTTTTCTTGTGGTACATTAAAAAATTGAAAAGGCTATTTCTGTTGGTCTTGAAGATTGTTTGCAAATTTCTGTTATCTTCTATTGCACGCAGGCTTGTAAACTTGCATATGCACGCTGCAACACTGGACTTAATGTGCTTGCACCTCAGGCCTCTAGTGACCCAAAATATTAATGAATTCATATATTCTACCACAGTTATGTATAGTCATGTATATATGGGCATCGCTGCTCGCAGCTAAAGTGCTTCCATTCTGCCATTGTTCGCATTGACATGTTCGCAAAATCATGCATGTTTTCCAACCTGGTATTGCACAACTTGGAATAAACACACTGCATAATTTCTTTTGTGCACTTTTGAATCCATTGCAATTCTGACCAAGTATGGAAATGGTCAAACGGGAGTAAATAAGAAATAAACTCAATGCTAATAGATTATTAATTAAACTACAATATCTTATTTAAACCAAAGGTGTATGAAACATATGGTATAATATGAAAGGAATGATTTTTGTAAGAAGCTTGCACCCTGTAATACCATAAAAATTCTTTGAGGATAATTCAAGCCAATATCATTTTTGATGACCTATTATAACAGTAGTAAGAAAGAGAGGTTTGGGCAAGTGATGCTTCATGAAAGTTCACAAAATAAGTAGCAACTGAGAAATCTTGGAATGGGGGTCAGAGACGCATGTTTGAGAGAAGATAGTTATCTTTCTATTTTTGAAGCAACATCTTGCTGTTTTTCAATCTTCTGAACTAGGTATGGTATAATTTCAATGTCATCAGGAACTAATTTGGGGTATAGTTGCTTTCTACTCATATACATGCATAAAGATGCAATAATGAGCTCCTGAAACCACTCTTATATTTCTTAGTCTAGTCAATTTGGGACAAAGTTTACTCATACAATTCTTATTCATTTTTAGCCCATTGTGTCCAGAAAATATGGATTGGGGAAAATACTACCCACACTATTTTACTGATAAAAATAGCTTAGCTGATGAACCAGTTCTAAAAAGGTTAAAGACAAGTGAAAAAAGAGTAGAATTTGCTGATATTGGCTGTGGTTATGGTGGACTACTAGGTATGGCTTATGCTATTCTAAATTAATAAAGCAAATGTTGTTCCTGCTGATTTGCTGGGTCTGCATGCAACAAGGAAAATGGTCATGTTCATTTCATTTTCTAACTTCCGCTACCTGCAATCAACTGCAACTAAACAAAGTACAATAAATGTATATCAATATATATGTATTACAATATAAAATGATACAAATCAAGTAGGTAGTAAAATTCTTAAAGGAAGAGCTTTCTCAGTAGCTGGACAAATCGGGGTGAGAGCCCCCCCCCTCCCCTCTAAACTGAAGTGCTGTAGTATGAAGATGGACTTACAAAGGCCTTTACAGCAAATTAAATAGAGAGGAGATTTCCTGCAACCACCCAGAAAACCCACCTGGCCCCCAACACCACACCCAACTGAAATAAAACTGAAAATGTTTTTTTCACCACTTGAAACATGCAACTAAGTCTTTTTAGCTTGTTATGTAGCTTTTTTGTTGCTTGTTCTGTTTGGTGATGCACTGGACATTCTACCACACTGCGTGTTATTGTTCTCATTTTTCTGGCTCACTTGTCCATCCACCTCTTTTTGATGTTCTGCCATAATAAATCATCAATTATACCTTTGATGTGACTTGCTCAGTCAAATTGGTATCTGGTATTATTGTGTTTAGGCTTGAGGTTTAATTAAGAAGTATTTCAATTTGCTCAAGCCCCAATTTTAAAAATTTTAAATTTCAGTTGACTTAGCAACAATGTTTCCAGACACTTTGATGCTGGGAATGGAAATACGTGTTAAGGTAAGATATTTTACTTCAAAAATTGTAGATGTCATTTTGTTGCTTTTTGCTTAGTTGCTTGGCTAGTATGTAGAATGTGTCACATCATTTTTCTAGTCTGCTTATGTGTTCTTTATTATTTCAATGTTTTACCATATCATAGTTAAGATCAATCAACCCTATCTCCATCACCCCAATGACCCTTGTATAAAAGATAGTGTGATAATCCCCAATTGGTTATGTCCACAGTGACAAGGATTATAGTCTTAGTCTTATCTTCAATAAAAATATAAGCACATTAGCCTTCTATTGACTCACAAATGGCTTGGCCTGAATACAAAATTTAATTTGAAAGAATGTCTAGCTCTGTCATATTTCTCAAATTGTATCAGCCCAGGTATCTCATCTACAGGTCAGTGAATATGTTAAAAAGAAGATTGAAGCACTTCGTCTACAGAACGCTGGTCAATATCAAAATGTTGCTTGTATCAGAGGAAATGCAATGAAGCATCTGCCAAATTTTTTTCATAAGGGACAGGTATGAGAAGTAATTTTCCAACCTCCATATAAGTGTTGACACTTCTTCTGGCCTATAAGCCACAGCAGCTTTTAAAATCTTCTTAAAAACATTGAAAACAAGGGTTCATCTGGCTGTAGTACATCAATTTTGCTTGTTTCTAAAATCATCCTCAAAGATGTCATCTGTGTGACTCCTACTTCTTCTTTGCGTTGATTATTTGTTTTTAGTGTCTTGGGAAAAACAATGATTTTGTTGCCTTTGTGAACAAAAGAACTACTTGAAAATGTTTTAAAGGAAAAAAATTTATAAAGGTAGAAAACTAAAGTGACAGAGAGAGGAAAGTTTTTCAAAAGGATATTGCTTTGTAACAGAATTGTAGTTCATTTTTGTATCAAAAAGGACTACCAGACTTTATGTACCCTTGCAAAATTTGTATTATTTTATGTCTTATTATGAGCATTGTATTCTGCTATTGTTTTAATTAAATATTAGGATGTCAATTCTTATTTTGTATGAAACAGCTGAAGAAAATGTTCTTTTTGTTTCCTGATCCACATTTTAAGAAGAAGAAAAATAAATGGCGAATTATCAGGTAAGGGGCAGTCTATTTTGCCTTGGTAAAAGCTATATAGGTATTGAAAGCTTCATGCAAAATTGTGCTATGCACCCTTTCTTGACATGACTATCTGTTGATCTTTGTTTGCAGTAATATCAGTTTCTCATGGCCTTTTTTTCCTCAACAGCCCGTCACTACTTGCAATTTATGCATATACATTGGATATTGGGGTAGGTTCCTTCCTTTATCTATTTGCTATTTCTCTTAAGCTGTTTTGTCCCATTTTGTTTCTTATCGGGTGATCAAAATGACTGTTAGCTCCAAGCAGCAGCTTAGAAAAGCATACAACAGTTTGTAAATAATCTTTTGTTGGTACAAAATTTTAAAATGGCTTTGTGAAAAGCAATTATTTGGTGTCATACTAAATCTTTGATAATGGTTTTGAAAAAAGCAAACATTTGAGACATACTTAAGCTTTTCGTCTGACACTCTTCAGAGCATAAAACGTTTTTCGGTCAAAGCTTAACCAATGATGAGCTTCTTGTGTGTTTTCAATTTGGCATAGAAATGTCTCGTGCTACTTAAAGAACTTTGGCCATCGATCTCAAACGCAAAGACCTCAAGTTTCAGTATACTCAAATGTTTGCTTTTTTCAAATACATTTTCAAATTTTGTATCATCAAAAGATTTTTTTAAATCTTAAATCACAAATCGCAAATTCATCATTTGTTGAACGCGTCATTATTCTCTGGTCCTGTAGGCAAAAGTTTATACCATAACGGATGTTGAAGAACTACACATCTGGATGAAGGAACATTTTAATGATCACCCGTTGTTCCGGGAATTGGAAAAAGAAGAATATGTGAGTAAATGGGACATGAATCTTATATTTGTATATCGCAACAACCAACTACTCTCCTAACTGGGTAATACGATACAGTGATTTTTGATCCCGAAAGATTTGCAGTCCAGGCTTCGTTTTAATTTTTCACGTATGCCGAGATTGAGCGTCTTTTGTGAGAAGAATGTAAAAGAAACATTTTCTTGACCTGAAGTAGCAGCTTCTTTTTTAAATCTCCTATAAAGAAGCATTTTGGTGTTTTCGTCATATCTTAACTTTAATTGTGTAGCTCAAAATACAAGTTGCATTCATAGCTGTGTTGTTAAAGCATGCTAGCTTTTCGTGTGTTTTCAATTTGGCATAAAAGCTCACCGAGGCACAAGTCTTGTCTCGTGCTAGTTAAAGAACTCTAGTCATCGATCACAAACGCAAAACATTTAGCTTTTATGTTATTAAGGAGTTCGGCTGAACTAAAATACATCATCTTTCCGATGTCTAATATACCATTTTTTTCCCTTATGATTTAGAAAGATGATCCAGTCGTCGATAAAGTGTATAACAGCACAGAAGAAGGGAAAAAAGTTGCAAGAAATAAAGGAAACAAATACTTTGCCATGTTTGAACGCATCGAAGATCCTTTTGAAAAACAAAGAGATTCAACTGTTTTAGATGAAACGAAATCATAGTTTTATGCCTTTTCATATCTTCGTCCTTTTTGTCTATTGAATCTTTTATGTATACAAAATATTTTTTGTTTCGATTGCCGAGATTTTATTTTAACATTGTTGGGGGTAATACCAGATTCTTGGTCTTGCTATCTATCTGGTATGTTTCGTCTTTATTATTTGATGAAAATTAGGGACAATTTTTGGGGATAATTTTCAATGGAAAAGTTTTATGCCAATGGCGTTCAATGCTTTTTATATTGTGCTGTTAAAAATTTTTAAAACATGATATGTCATTAGAGTATTACTACTTTTGTTCAAGCTCTCTACTATCAAATTCAAATATATCTCAAGTTTTTTCATTCGATGTTGAAAAAGAATCGTGCATAAATATAATATTTTCGTTTTTACGGCCGTGCGGTCGCTACTTGCGAACAAAGTTGAAAGACTTTGTTGCGAAGAAGCCACGTGCAGCATGCAGAAGCATCCCGGAAATGACGTCCGAAGGATCGACCGAAAATGTGTTTCTCCTTGAAGGTGGCAAAGCATGCATTTAGGCCACGTACACACAATCTGCATAAACGCCAAAGTCGATTGTTTTGTTTACTTTTATATCAATAATTAAAGAGGAAAGTAGTTAAGTCGAGCTGCAAATGGTTTGTTCCACATATCGAAGATGAGGATTGAATTATTAGATTTGTTTGCTATTTTGTCGTTATATTTCTTTTCAACGATTCTCGGGGAGGAACAACCGGCGGGAGAGCAGAAGCAAGGCGAAAATGCTGGGCAAAAGATTGATCCAATGAAACTTATTAAAGACTCTCAGTAAGTGCCACGTTTCAGAAAATGTCATAACAATATATTTTTAATGTCGAAATATTGTCAAAATATCATTGAAATATTTAGCATTCTTATTTGAAATTATCAATGTAGTTTCCATTGGCCTTGAGTTGAATAAATTTTTGAGTGCCTTATCTAACTTTTTGTTTTGGCATTAAATACCGCGACTTTTATGATTTATATTTAAACAGTTTTGGTAACTATCGTTATTAGCCTTTTTTCATAGTTGGACATTTCCTTCAACACTTTTTCAGTTTATGTCTTTTGTTTGTAAAGATCGTTTCAGCTTCAGACTAAAGTCGTAGTCCCAAGATAAATTTTTAAATATGTTTTCTTTATTCCAAAAGACACATTAAAGAACATTTGAAAGCTGAATATGGATTTAATGACAAACAAGCTGATGACTATCTTAAGGTAAAATAAAATCTTATTTGATTGTATGTATGAAAACAGTGTCTTGAACATGTATACCAGGGGGGAAAGTTTGCCAATTACATACATTTTTAAATAATTTATAATAACAATTATAATTTGGTGAAAATTTTACCTAGTAGCCTGTAATCATCTGGTTTAAAATATAACACAAGTTTCATATGTTTCATATGTGCTCGTGGCTTGTATACACAATCTGTAAAAAGGCATCAAAACAGGGTTCAAGATTGCCCACATAAAAGTCACAAGACAGAAGGTTTTGTTTTTTTTGTCATTTCACTTTTTCTGGGCTGTCAATTGTGCTAGAGACTGACCATATACGGTCCCAAAAATTTGAGGGGTTGAGAAGAAAACAGCCCCCTTCTTCTCAGGGCTGAGAAGATGCATTTTAGGTAGCCATAACAATATACAAAAAGATTTATTCACAAATATTTTGTAGAGTGGGTGAAATTATGTACTAGGGCATAGGGGCTCAGGCCCCCAGTCAGTGTTCTCATCTGAAAAATAGGATTTAGCATGCCTAAAGCCTATCCTTAACATGCGGATACTTAAAAGAACATTTAACATGCCAAAAGCCCATCCAAGATGTTATATTGTCAGAAAATCATAGGCTTAAGCCCCCTTAACAAAGCCTGAATTTTCACCACTGGAGCTAGATATACTTAAGCAATTTGCGACTTGTGAGGCTGCATTATCATGTTTATAAACACAAGCCAGCATTCTTGCAGACTTGTTTAGGGTCTGATGGAATGCAAATTCAATGAATTGCTTTAATGCGCTAAACCTATGAAAGTTTTATTTTGCCCACAAATCTCAGGGGCACCAACAAGGCAGACCTTGTTGCATGTAAAGCATTTCATTTCTCTGTACCAGCTGAGATACATTTCCTGATGATCATAGTGAGTGTGAAATTCAAAGTTGCATCTTGAGAAGATCCTGATCTACACCCCAAAGCATTCAATAAACAATTATTTTAATGGCTGCTTCTGTTTATTTTCAGTCAAAATACTCATTATTGCAATATTTTGCAAGGCACTATTTGTAAAGATATATATGTATTATTATTTTTAGCAATATGATGCCCAGACACAATTTTTTGTGATGCATGATTATGATAACAACACAAAGCTAGATGGTTTGGAATTATTAAAGTCAATGACACATCATCATGATGGGGATGACCATGGTAGGTTGTCTTGTATTTCTAATATCTATCTATCATCTATCCATCGATCTATCTATCTATCTATTTATCTATCTATCTATCTATCTATCTATCTATCTATCTATCCATCTATCTGTCTATTCGTCTATCCGTCTATCCATCTATCCATCAAATCTATCTATCCAAAATTCTTTTCAAGTTGTAGCCTCTTTGTCTTTTGATCGAACCAGCTATTCGAACAGTCTAAACCGGATTTTGGTATAGCTTTTGGTGCTACTTGTTTTTTGTTAAGGTCAATGGGTAGCCATGCCTATCATGCTCCCATTGGCATCGTCTTTGTAATCTTGTTCTTGTAAAATGTACTTTTTTAGACTGTCTATAAAAAAATTATCTATCCATCTAATCTATCTCTATCTAATTGTACTGTTCATTTACCCACACTTGGCTATTATATACAGTGGCTAGTAAAATTAAGAAAAAGTAATATTATCAAGTGAATTAAACAAAAAAGGTGAAAAAGAATATTTTAGCAGTGTGACCCCTAATGAGGGGCTTGTTGGGAAGTTTGTTGATTCCTGAATTAAGGTACATTACGGTACTAATAATATTGAATTTACTATATATAATATAGCATGGGAGTCTCCTATTAATGTGAATGTAATATGCAGTGTCTTCGTTATATCATACTACATAGTATGATATAACGAAGACACTGCATAATCATTGAGCTGTCTCAGCATTCCGTAATGATTTTTGTTTTGAATTTTTAAAGTAAATTCAGTATTGAATCCCTAATTGTAATATTCTTTTTTAGGTGACGGCCATGATGCATCAGATCAGACAGATACTCTAGTTGAATTTGTAGACATGGTAATGAAAGATCAAGACCTCAATGATGATGGATACATTGATTACCCAGAATACATCAATTATTACACTAAATTTGATAAAGGAAGTGATGATGGTGCACCTGGTACTGCAAAGTCCTAATCTCAGAAAAAATAGTTCTTGAAGTAATCTAATTTCAACTGACTTTCTTCTTAGCTGTTTCAAATTTCCATAGCACTGCTTTTATAAGATTCGTCATTTATGTTTGAATCAATGCGCGAAGAGACATGATGTTAAATTTTACAAGATAAGCAATAGTGGTTATAATAAGATTACAGAGCTGCTTTGTAGCCAAGAAGGGAATCATTATGAAGGCTCATTTCCTAAAGGTAGTAATTTTTACAGCGATTTGATTTTCTTCTCAAAAGTATAGCACCAGCATTCTTAGAAATAATCCTTTAATAGGTAAGTTACTTAAAGATTCATCTCAGAGGCTCTAGAGCTGATTTTTGGCTACATTTAAACCTGTAAGTAAATTTCAAAATTTTATTTAACATCCAAAGATGTTTCCTAGAGGTAGAGACCACCTACAAAGACATACTGTAATTAATATGATACACATTGAGAATAAATATTGATTGATTACCACTTTTAAGGGGTATCTACAGAATCGCATTAAAACTTCCATAATATGTCTAATGTTAGTGCAATATTTATATGGTGATTGGTAAAGCTGATGCAGATTAATCACCATTTGTCACAATATGGACAGCTTTCTAATGGATTCTCAGAAGTAAACTTGAACTTGCTGTTTGTAATGTTTGATATTTTTCTCTTTTTGCTCAAAATGAAGTTTTATTAAGCTATTCATTTGTGAAAAGATAAGCCAATTTGATATCCATCAAAATTCTTGTGACATCTTGTTATCTGTGAAACATTTAAAAAACATCTTTAAATAGACAGAGCATATTGAGATCTTGCCATTGACAGACTGGCCAGTTGGGCTACTCATCGGTTGGGTTTTTAAAGGTTCCTTTTTCTTCCATGAATTTTTTTATTAATTGTTAAATTAAGATATTAGCAGCTGACACATTTATAAATATATTGCGAAAATTATAAGAAAAAATTTATTTTTCTGGTCGTAAACCCCAATTTTTAGCACACTTCACTCACCTTCAGTTTCATGGCCTTAATTTCAATGACAATTGTGCTCTTGTCCCTGGCAGTCAGTCTGTCCCTGCATCATCCTCATACAAGATAAATAAGAAAAACAAACTATAAAGCCTAAGATCGACGAATCTTGCTATATACTTAGAAGCAGAAAATATTGTAGTGATAGAAGTTTTAACAAAAATAAAAGTTCCTAGATTGTCTTTTTCCTCAGATAATACTCTTGTTCTTTGATTTGAATACTCTTCAACGATTATGAGAAAACATTTCGAGGATCTTATGAAAAAGAAACACAGTTGCCACTCTACCATATGACAAGGAAGGAAGCATTTCGAAATTGCGGAATCCTATAAATGGAAATTCTGTCTCTCTTGTTAACAGGGGCGTAGCTAGCGCATGGTGCAGGGGGTGTGACAATATTTTATGAATTCGTTGGTAGATCTTCAGCTTCTCTACCAAACCCTTAGTTTGTTGGTAAAATTATCTATCAGTAGGTGAAATAGCACTTAACTTCTTCTGCATCTATGTCATCGTCGGCGGTAGATTTGTCTTTTGATGACTCTCCACGCCCCCTCCCTCTAGTCTAGAAGGTCAAGGGTCGCCACTGCTTGTTAGAAAGTTATAAGAATGCTGAATTTCATAGAAATTGAATGAACTTATTTTTTGACAACCAGGGCTTATTTTTAGGCAGTCAGGACTTGTATCCGTTAATTGTCGTTCCGAAAACCATACAGAGGAGAGCAATAGAATTCCATACGAATGTAAAAGGTGGTTGATTAGTAGGAAAGAGATTATTGAATAATCCTGCATTCGGCCTCAAATTCACAAGCAAAAAATGACTCCTTAATCATAGAAAATGAAAATGCGTCATGTCCAAAGATTCAAAGTGAGCCAATGAGAATATAATAAGTGCATCCCTGTAAACATAATAACGATCAATGTAAGTAAATTGTACGAGGAAATTTTTTTTAAAGAAATGACGATGTTTCGAGCATAGTGACTTGATAACGGGCTATGCGCGAAACGTCGTTATTTATTTTAAAAAAGTTTTCTTGGTACAATTTACTTATTTTGTACCGCACTCAATCTAGTATATCCCTGCAAACATCTCCATATCACATGAAACGCAAAAAGCAATATCCATCTTTTTGTTTCTACCTAGTTTCCAGTATTTCTTTTAGGACACTTAGCAGCCAAGCATTTCGTGCATTGGCCTGATCCTTCCTCTCGATGTGACCATACCTCGTGATTTTTACGACTGCAATTTGGATCTTTTTGGATCTTTTTTATCTGTAGTCTGCTACCCTAACCACTGAGTCATCCTCGTTAAAGATTTCACCTCAGAGGCAATTTCACCTCAATGAAGCAACAATATTCGGGAAATACCCGTACTAAGCCAAACTAAACGTTAAGCCCCCGCTTTGCCCATGAATCTAAGGAATGCTTATGCTTAACAGAAAAATGTATCCCACCAATAGGGCTGCTTTTTGATGAGCAGTGTCCCACCAAAAAAGAATCCCTATTGACCAGAGTAAGAATTGCCAAACGAGTGAAAATATGTTTTATTCTCTGGAAAGTGAGCTTGTGATACCTTTCTATCGAGAACTATTGCTGATGCATCAATTTTTTACCTTGAATCTATAGGAAAAAAGTGTAATTGGCAGGATGCTGAAATTTGGAAAAGCATACTCTATTTTTTTAAAGTTATAATGAAGATAACCTTAAACAAAACAAAAATCGAAAAAAAAGTCTATATTTTAAGATTGAAATTGCTAATTTTGATCTAGGATATAAGCATTTTTCTGCCATTTTGAGCCAGGGTAACAACGATGTAAACAAACCCCTAGAAACGTTTCTTACGTCAAATTGGACATCCGCAACAGTATAAAAGCCACAGCTCATCAACTGCCATTTCTGTTGCGATTTGATTTTAATCAAGGAGCTCAAACCTTACGACTCGCTCGTGACAACAAAAGATTTCTCAAAGCGAATCTTTATTCACAACAAAGATACTGAAAACGAAGGTGTACGCTGTGGAGGAGAATGTCGAATCAAATTCCGTTGGTATCGATCGTTCTTTCACAGGTTTGTTCGATCGATCGATTGTTAAATATCCTTGACAAGGCTTTAAAGTCCAACTTTGAAACTTTAAACGATTAAAGGAGACAACATTTAACAGGAAAAGTCTTCTATCAGGTACCAACGGTTAGCGAAGCTATCATTTGGTTATGAATTACCAATTCGTTTTAAAATGTCTACTAAAAACTCGTTAAAATTCTTTTTGAGCCCTTCACTGAGTTTAGGTAAAAAACTTTAGTCATAGTTTCCCGAAATCTTTAAAGATATAATCGCCTACAAATATTTAAAAAACTTGCGGGTACAAAAATTCAAACAAATGAAAGACAATTTGATTCTGCAATGTTAAAAAACATTAATAAGTTGCCAAAAAAGTGATGCTTGGACTTTAAATCTCCACGGGCCTAAGAAAAACTAGAATATGTCACGTGATGACTTAATGTTGCTAGCCACAGTTACTAAGGATGGGACTCGGCTCCAGCCCTCTCTGTAAAATGCTACGATAAAAATTTCAAATCAAGATAAGAACAATTTCCAGATATACTCGCAGAAAGAGACAGAATTATTGAAAGAGAATCGAAAGTTGATTTGAAGTTATACAAGACCAATTACTGGGAGGTTAAAGTAAAAGAAAATATCACGTAAAGGTATCAAGATAAGCGACGAGATTAAGATTGTGCAATACATCAATACATTTGTAGGAATTATGAAACATGGACGTATTCTATTGAGTAATAGAGCCAATGAATAAAGACAGAAAGCCGATTATAAATACACGGGAAGATATTGAATAATAAAAAAGGCGGATAATTTATTTCAAATTATACAGACAGAAATAATTGCGAGGAAAGCAAAAGGAAACTAGACCAAGTTGAAATTTTGCAATAGTTATCATTGAACTATGGTCGTGTTATTTTCCACCACGGCAGCAATGACCGGATAAAGGCAACAAAAAGTCACAATCAAAGGGAAGCTGCAATTTTCTGTGAATAAAAAAAAGTCTGCCAATTTCAATTAAATCTTTTACCTTTAGATTCACATTATTTATTTCATTTACAGTTCCGACATGGCCTGATTGAAGGTCAAAGGAAAGAAATAGCTGCAGAATGCGAAAAGCTTTTCAAAAGAATTGGTAAGAGGCATACAACTTAAATATAAACCTGCTAAAAAAAGTCTGACTGCTGACTCAATCATTACTAAACAGTGGCATTACCATTACCGTACATATCTTTCTTGCCGTGTGAACATTAGAATTCAGAAAATTGAATAAGGAGACTCTTTATTTAAAAGGTCGGTAGGTTGGATGACAAGATGATTTCATAAATCTTGAGTGATCAAAAACCGTTTTTTATCCTAGTACTCTCGAAAACCTCACAAATATCTTCGAAAAATCCACACTCTCTATAAGGAAATAAAATGAATTTTTTCAATCATTTGCAGATGATCTTCTGTTGAATGTTGACAAGCTAACCAACATCAACCATCCAACACACCATCAACGTATCAATGCAAACTTGCTCCAACTGAACTACAGAAATTTCTGTTTTCGCATGGTGAGTAATTAAGATTAAGATAATAAATTACTAGAAGCGCTTTGAAACGGAAAGGTTTAAATCAAAAATTGTCTATTTTCAAAGAGTTCTTAATAACATTCTGTTTCAAATCAAGTGAAATATATTAAGAAATTTAAGGCTTGATTCAGAAGAAAGTCGTCAAAATGTTCGGATAAGAAAAGTCAAAAACAGTAAAATTGCCCAATTTCTTCCAAAAATTGAAAATTGTAATGTTGAAATAATATTTCTAAAAAGGCTTTCAATAACATTAAATGTAAAATTAGATCATCTATAACAAGTATCATTGCATGGAAAATACATGTAATCAAACAATATTGTCAAGGAAAGTATAACGAATGCAAAACATTTAAAATGACATGCATGTGATTCAAAAGAGAGCATCCACAAAGCCAAAAAAGTGCTGCGCGGGATTTAATAACTGGAAAAGGCAAAATCTGTATTTTATGAACAAGTCTCTTAATTACGTCGTTCGTGGGAACCTAAAAGAAGACCCCGTTTCATGTAAGTGATATTAATCAAGTTAAAAATACTAAGATGATTATAAAAGATTAAATCTAAAAAGAATCTTAAAACTGATTTGTTTCTCTAAACAGATAAAGCAACTAGCAAGTGAAATCAACGAGAAAGCACACAATATATATAAACAGGTAGGTTAATCGTATTTAATCTTGATTTTCGACTATTGATTCTGAAATTGATAGGATAATATTTTATGCATTTTCAATTTAAGGGAAATGTTTTGGGTGATATATACAATTTAGTAGTAAATTGCTTGAAATAAATACTTCTACTCAACAACGAAGGCTTATGATGATTGCTGGCGTATTGTAAGTAATGAGTATTTCTCCTTAACAGCTGAAAGGAAAGGCAATAAAACCATGGCTTAAACACATTGCAAATGTCATGAAAAAGATGGTTTGGATGTGGGGCAAATTTTTCAACGGAATTGAAATTTTGGTAAGTTGAAGTACAAGAAGGATGTTGATACTTATTTGATAAAAATCGGTAAATATAATACAACTGTTATACAAAATAAGCAGATTTGATATAAGTGCATATAAGATTTCTGTAAATATAATTTGATACTAGTTACTGATGCAAATTAATTACATACATAAACTTAACTCACGGCCGATCTTTGGGAAGAAGATTGTGAACAGAATCCAGTAAGAAAAGAGATGAATAACAAATTTAACCCTTAACATTTCAGTGGAAGCATTTCTTTGTTTCGTTGATACAATCAGATTTTTCTCTTCAAAAATGAGAAATGTATGGAAAAGAAAAAATTTACCGAAATTCTGAATGAATTTTAAAAGCAAAATCACTGACAGTCGGTAATAAATAGCTATATTTTTTAAAATTCTAAGTAAAATATTTTAAATGTGAATACTTTTCTTTAGGAGCAGCAAGATAAAGATGGCTGCCAAGATAACATGATTCTGTTCAACAAGTTCTCAGATTATGAAATGAGGCAATATATGAAGCATATTGGCATTGCAACCAAAGAAATACGACGCTTGCTCCCAGAATGCAATGTGAAAGCAATGGAAG